CCTTTTATTACGCACTTTGACTATAAAAATAACTTTTTTGATACGCGATTCTGGTAGGTTGGGGTGTGGCCTGTAATTCTTTTATGTGATAATTAATCTAATACGCTATATAGCAAACAGAGAGAAAAAAGCCAAGCGATTATAACTTCTTACTTAGGCTAGTACTTGGATAGGGACCTGGCTCTGTAATCGTCTGAGCTTCTGGTTAATCATGTAAAGGTGCCAGTAGACTTTTGTTACTCGTCGTAGATAGTGGTAAACAGAAAGTTTGAAAAGCCAGTGCAGAGAACAACCTTATTAACCATTCACATAGCTTGACTATGGTGAAAAGCGGGGCTCTCAAGTGGTAAGCAGGGATCAGAGATCACGTAGTTTTTAAACTTCTTGGGCGCTTGAAGCGGGGTGTAATAAATTAGTGTTGGGCAAGGTCACATACCCTCCCGCTTAGTAATTATCCCCGCCGCTTGTGGCTGGCTGCGTAAAGAATTTGCCTTGCCGATAGCTTTGTACACTTTGGTCACCTTCTTTTATTAATGCAACGTTTACCTTGAGATCTATTCCTAAAAATCCTACAAGCGCCTTCTATGTCGACATCAAGTCCTAAAAGCGCTGCCGCTTGCCATGCAGTCCAAGGACAGGAAGATTCGTTAGTCACAGTAGCCAGTGTGCCATCATCTGCGACGAGTTCCCACAGGTAAAGTGCCCTCAAACTTGTTTTAGAGCAAGTTTTTTGTTAACTAGTTAAAGCGTACCTAAAGAAGCCGATCGTAGATCATTGTCTATTGCGAAAAATGGATTACAGATTTTACGTGAGATCTTTCGTCTGGGCTATCAGCCTTATTACTCGCCTCAACTTTCAGATGTGGTACTTGTTGCAATCGACTTTGAGAATATCAACACCATCAAGAGCGGATTTGCGCAGAAGGGAAATTGCCAAATTGGACTTGCGATTCTTGATACAAAGGAAATCAACCAGATGCCTCCAGACGAGCTTATATCCACCCACAATTTTGCTACAGGATCTCCTTCATACCTGAGCAAGGCGTCAAGAAAGTTCATGTTTGGGGAGACAATCGCAATCAGCCCACCAAACATTGTCAACCATATTCAATCTGCTATCCCCTCAGCTCGAAATGTAGTTTTTGTAGGCCATGGTATTATCAATGACCTTCAGGCTTTACAAGCTCTCGATTTCGAGTATCCAGTGCTTCTCTCGAGCGTTTTAGATACCTCTTACGTCGCTAATGAGGTGTTTGAGTATTGGGCTGGGTCTCTTGGCGATTTACTCCTTTCTTTGGGATGTTCCTTCAACAGGCTTCATTGTGCAGGCAATGACGCCAATTTTACATTAAGAGCTCTACTTCTTCTAGCTGCTTGCGGGTTTTCTAAGCAGCAAGGAGAGCAAGAAGAGGATTGCGACACGCTTGCTTACCTAAGGCAAATTTCAGCATCTCCAATACCACATTGGGTTGATCCAGAGGTCCAGGCTCTACAAAAAAGGGAAAGGAGGGGTGCAAAAAGTCGGAAGCACCAATCAAAGACATGGAGCAAGGAAAAACAAGAAGAAATCCGTGCAGCTCGGCAGCTTAAGAAGCGGAACATTACGGAAGCTGGATAAAGTTGCAAAAAAAACGTCAGATGCGGGATTCGAACTCGCGCGGGCAGAGCCCATGCGACTCACCGTCGCCTCTTTTGCCACTGATGTAGGGGGTTACCATAACCCTACACCCGCGCGCACCCCAGGCAAACGAGGGCCTGCAGTACCCTCTCCCTCCTAGGAGGTGCCGGACCTGATAGCAGGTGTCGCATAGCAAGAGAGCCGTGAAGCGGTTGGTTGTGCACGCCTTAAACCACTCGGCCAATCTGACTTGTGATGATTTCATGCTACATGTCAAAGTTATAAGAATACCTGATCTCTAGTAGTATGGTCTTGTTAAAGAATGCACCTGCGTCCCTAGCAACATAAACAAAGCAGGGTAGGAACGAGTAGCTCTTGCAAATATCGCAGTAGCCCCGCCTTACTCGCCACCACCAAAGGATGCAACAGATGTTGTCACCTTGAGAATATCAACAGACTGTTTGTGCTGCCATCTTTACGAGCAGGACGAAAGTTTAGAGTTCAGCCTTGCGTGTGTGCAGCCACACACGACTCCCACACGATCATCCACATCGGCTGCTGCAGAGTGGGGCGTGCATATATCGAATCTTGTTCTACTCCATGAACGTCTTGGGCATACTGTGGCAGGTTCTTTGGAACGAGGTGCAAAGGATTGGCACCTCACACGGCAGATATGAGGACAAAGTATATGGGTATATGTAAATCGGCTAACTTAGTAGTTTTCTGGCGGTCATCTTGTCCACCCTTTCTCTTACCTTCTTGCAAACTTCTAGCAGATCCAATTCGATCACCACCTTGAAATCTGGTGCCTTTCTTGATAATATCAGCTCCGCATCGTTGACAGAGGGTCACTGCAAACACTTGTCATTGGCGGAAGGTACGCATGTTTGTATAAACGCAGTGCTCTCTTCTCCCTGCTTCTCTCGGTGTCTTTAAGAGTCGCTCAAGGTCAGTATGTAGAAGAAAACTCTTCCAGTAAGATGTTGTGCAAGTGTTCGCGGCTGACGTTGATGGGTCTCACTTCGCCCGCTAGCGGTCGATGGTGTATCGGCTAACGCAGAGCGGCTCCTGTTGAGGGTTGGGTTAAGAGTGAGTGACTTTACAAGGTACTTGTCATTGGCTTTGATGCAATGTTTGTCGGGCTAGTGTATATTTGAGGCGACTTGTTCTGACCTGGTCTTTGAAGTTAATGTGCTGACGTAAGTTCAGGGGACATGGAAAGACGGGACCAAAAGAGTTGTATATGATGAACTTTAACATAGCATAGTAACATTGTTTTGGGTTTTCAATAACTTTACACTGCCATCCTAAATCGATCATTTTCAACATACGAACGTTAGTATTCACCTCTGATATAGGTAAAGACTCCGGAATGTCATCACCTTACTTGTATAGCTCGACATGGATGGAATATTCTTACTCGATGGAGGATGAAGACGACGAGTATCAATACCTTGGTAACCAGCTACTAAACAGCTTCGCCCTTCGGATTCGATCTAGAGCTCTTTTTGAAGAAAAGGTTGTTTGCAAGCCTCGATTTCGGCGCATTCCATTTAAGATTCCGGAGATTGCAAGTAGAGCATGATGGCATTAGATTGACTTGCAAGCTAGGAAAAACTCGCTCCCATAGATCTAAACACTGCCCATTAAGCCTTCTGGTTTATGATTTTGTATCTCTGGGTGATCATCTGTTGAGCGTAGCTTATGAGGGAGTAGTACATATACATAAGCTGCTCCCTCGTACAAAGAGCATCGATCCAATATGATCACTCGATCCACCCTCTCCGGAGCCCATTGTTCTTGAAAAGTGGATTTACTGTTACATATCACATAAAGGCTACGAGCTGCTAAGAAGTAGCAGATTGAGCCCCAGTACCCGAGTGGCGAAAATTAGCCGCCTCAGCCTTGCAACTTCACCACCAGACAATCTCACTTCTGGGGCAAAGTCTGTTTTCTCACAGCAGGTGGGTACGAGATATAACAAATGGCTACAAGGGGTCTCTAGGGTATGCGGCCTTGAGGTGACTTACAAAACGGTGCAGCAAATGTCATCCTCACGTGACGGTTTGTTGTGTAACGTTCAGGATCGCGTTGTCCTATTCACCAGTTACAATCTCTTAGAAATGAATAATCTTCATGTTAATCAAGAGTTTTATCATAAATAAGTATAGTTGATATACACTTTCATTCATACAAGCCCACGCGTGAACGATCCTTCTGCTGGCTCAGTGGCTGTGTGGGGAGGGCGTCAGCCTTGTCGTGCCCCGCACTCTCTACGTATCGTGGTTGCCTTCTCATGCTCAGCCTGCTTAATCTGTTCTTTTCCGCCATCTCTCAACTTCTCGAGCGCAACGTACTAGCTAATATTCTTGCTCGAGTTACTTACAGTCGTCATATTCCCTAACAGTCACATCGGTAGTACGATCGGATACCTCGTCGAACTTCTCCGCCATTCAACTGGACAAACGAGTAATCGTGAAACTCATATCGTCACGCTTAAGGCCCTGTAGCTTTGTGCTATATAACCTTTTAGTCAGACACACCAGCGATGAGGCTACTCAATACCGAAACACTTGAACTGATTTCTTTCATTGGCCAAGTACCGGACTACGTTATCTTATCACATCGATGGGAGGAAGAAGAGATCGTCTTTGAAGATGTCTCCAAAGTCCCTCTCAGCAGCCAAACCAACCCAGCTAGAGTGAAGCGAGGGTTTCTCAAAGTTCTAGGCACTTGTGCCCTTGCGGTCAAGCACGGCTACAAATGGGTTTGGATTGATAGCTGTTGTATCGATAAGTCTAGTTCAGCGGAGCTACAAGAATCAATCAACTCGATGTTTCGATGGTATCAGCGGGCACAGATTTGTTACGCATATCTCAGTGATGTTGCAGACAAATCCTCTGGCTGGGGTCAGGCTTTCGGTAAAAGTCAGTGGTTTACTCGCGGATGGACATTACAGGAATTGCTAGCTCCTTGCAATGTGGAGTTCTACTCGGCAGACTGGAGTCCTATTGGAAACAAGTTCTCCCGAGCTAAACAAGTCGCCTCAATCACAAGTATCGATGTTGCGGCTCTGGAGTCTGATTGGGTAATGATAGAAGATGAGTTTTGTGCAGCACAAAAGTTGTCCTGGGCCGCACATCGAGAAGTATCCAAGGAAGAAGACGAATCATATTGCTTATTCGGGCTGTTCAATGTCAACTTACCACTGTTGTATGGCGAAGGTGAAGTCAAGGCATTCCGGAGATTACAGCAGGCGATTTTTGAGGAAAGTGCCGATCACAGTCTGTTTTTATTCTCCCGGAGCAGCTCTCATCACCATACACCAATGCTTACGGATTCGGTCCAAAGATTCTGCAAACGTACACTCTGCGGCCAATGCAGTTTACTTGCAGAATGCTTTGACACCAATATAGCCTACTCGGAAATTGGTTCGAATCAACCGCTTTGGCCAGCTCCTCTGCAAGATGCCCATTACATCCGGCTGTTGCGGAAAGCGGTCATGATCAAGGCGCCGTTAGTGCGATACGATAAAATTTCTATTCCCGAACAAAACTCATCCATAGTACTAGCTCCCACTCTTACATTCATTGCCGTATTGCCTGTGTCACGGCGGGGCCAACCGAACTCGCTCTTCGGAATTCTGCTTCAACGGATATCGTCTACGAGTTATGTGCGCCTGTCGAAAAAACCTGTTCTGCTTCAAGAGCATATAGACGTGATAGATCAGGCAGATTTTGGAGCCTACACAGTCCATGATGCTAATCCCAATCATGCGAAAGATTCGATTGCAAAGATTATTCCTGATTATGCTGGCCTGGGATGGCCTGGGAGATACGCCAAGTTCAAACTTCACAGTGCCACCTTAGTAGCACACGAGTGGCGTTGCAAGGCCCAAGATTCTCATACGGCATATTTTGGCCCTGTGGCCCAGTTTCTGCTCCCAAGAAGTGAAGAGCATCATTTCTCAGTTTCAATCTCTTTTCGAGATGTCAATGATCCAAAACTTACAGGAGTCATTGTCTTGGGAAACTCCATTAGCCAAATGCAGTTGCTCGAGGTAAAGCTTCTCCAACGCCAAAACTCTTTTTATTCATTCTCAAGTCAGGAAAATGATACCACTCAACGGTGCATGAACTTTCCCGTTCAAATACCAGAAACGGAAGATTTTCTTGATGTTACTCTTCGCAAGCTCCCAGTGACTGAACTTGAGTTTTCGAGAAGAGATAGTTTCAATGTACCTTTCCGAGTTTCTGGCCAATCCGATTTGGGGTTTTTTTTCGTCGTTCTACAGTACCAATATCGCTTGGATGTTGTTCGCTCGTCCAAAAAAGAAGCCATTCGAGAGAGCTCCTCGCAACCTAGACACCTTGAGTTGCTGTCAAGAATGAAAACTTTCGCCTCTGGAGCCATGTACTTCGGGAAATAGTCTATTTTACCATCTTCAAGACTTTTTGTGTAATATTGTTTAGTTTGTCTTATATCTAAGAAATAAAGATGGATGAGGCATGAAGTAAGCGGTTGAAAAAAAAACAGACAATATTTTAGTGGGGCTTCGTGGAGGTTTTGGTAAGAAAGGGGACAAGATGAAATACAAATCATGCTGTAAACACACACAGTCGTACGAGCGGCCATTCCCTCTAAAGTCGACATATCTAGACGAATCCATACCTCAATACGAACTCTCTATCTACACATGAGCCTTCATTGCCATGAGACTTCATCCCCTCCGTTTCCAATCACTTTCAACCTTTCCAGAAGTCTGCTCACTGTCAGTGTCACAATCTTGATAACATCAGCTAGTCGCTAGATTGCAACCAGGACCAGAACCATAGTGCCGGTAACAAAATTGCGGAGGAAATCTTCGCTGGCATTGCCAAACAAAAGGAAAAAAAAAGAATGGGTAAAGGAAGAGCAACAACTCGCCTGTTCACATTCACAGGTATTTGCCGTATCATAGTCGATTTTTTTCGCTACAGTGATATCGGATACACCGCGACCCAAGGTGCATTCAACATACCGCAATTCCCCAACACACTTATCCTACTATCCGCATTTCTCACATATTACACTCTTCTACCCTTCGAAAACCTCTCCCAACCTCTACATGATCATTTCTATACCTCATACAGCCTCTCACTCATCGATTCTTGCACCTCGACCAACATTCGCACTTGACTCCTAGCATCAAGAACTACAAGGAATACTTCCAAAATGCGAAACTCGGGGACAAGAAAACAAAAAACAATCACGAGCTGAAATTTTCAAACTGTTTATAGATTTCTTGTTACTGTTGGGCTAAATATTTGAGAGAGGAAAAGAAAATGCTATTTACGCCTAGCAATGCAACGCTTTGACGTATACACCTCTTTCCACATGAATGATATAGATACAACTCTTGAAGAAAAAAAGGGCGGCAGAAAAGGAAATGTAGATAAAAGGGAACCCTAAACACTCAAAGCCGCCGGTACCAAAACCTCATTCGCCTGGGCGATCCCCGCCTCGGCCTCGACCTCAGGCACTTTAATCCTTTTAGCCTCTGGTTCCTCGCCCTCCCTCTCCTTCCTCTTCTCCCCTTGCACCTTGGCCTCTGCTTCAGGCTTACTCGCCTCCTTAACCCTTGCGCGCTTCGAAGCTCTAGATTCCTGAATCGGGATACCCAGGTGCTCATCTACTTTTTGCGCCTGAGCCAGCAAATCATCCACCTTGTCCAGACCCAGCGCTTTGATAACATCGGTATAGCACTTTGACTTATTCATGGCCGCGTACGCCTTTTCTTTGCCAGGAATCATTTGGCCGAGGAGGTACTTGGTGTTACCCCATCTGTTAGCGACTTGGAGGGCGAAGCGCATGTATTCTGTGACTACGGTTTTCCACTGGGAGCGCCATTCGTGGGGCCCGCCTTCGGCATCAGGCCGGAAGCAGCTGGGGTTTTTTTCGGCTTCAGTGGCGATCATGGCGCCGTCGACGGAGAATTCTTGCATGAGTTTGAGGGCTTCGGTGCGGGAGGTTACGTCGCCGTTCATGACGCAGGCGACGCCGGCTTCTCTGCATATCTCGCCAATCATCTTGAGCTGGTCGCGTATCGCTCGCTCTCGGGGTCGCATGGGCGTGGTGCGGCAGTGAACGGTGAGACCGGTGATGCCGGTGCGGACGAGGCGCTTCACCAGAGCGGCAGTGTCTTCTGGCTGGTCGAGAATGCGGATCTTGACGCTGATGCCAATCTCGAATGGCTTGCCCACCTCTTCAACAAGTCTTGTGAGGATGTCACAGAGCAGGTCTGGTGTTCTCAGAAGCGCTGCGCCCATTCCACCAGAGGTGGAAAATGGCTTGGGGCAGCCTGAGTTGACATCGATGCCGGCCACATCTGCTGCAACAATCTTGGCTGCCTGGACTGCGAGCTCGGGGTTCGCCGTACCGATTTGGTAGATGAGCTTGCCCTTCTCCAACTCGGGATGTATGCGGTATATGACGCTCTCGCGGAGATCAGGATCGAGGGTCGGATTCTTGATCTTGGACGTGGGCAGGCGTGTAAACTCCAGCGTCGACGTGTGCGGGTTGAAGCGCCTTGTGGTACCGATGATGGCGCGATCAATTGTCTCGGGACCCCATACGAGGTCTGCGCCGTACTTGAGCGCCAGCAGTCGTGAGGGCAATTCGCCGGAGCGCACCATTGGCGCAAGCACTACTTTGCCGCGGTAGTCGACGCCATTCTTAGGGATGGGCACGCGTGCGGGCTCGGGGGAGGCCATGGCTCGTGTTATTGTTCGCAGGAAGGTTCGGAGCATAACATGCCTTGAGAAGAACGAGCTTTGACAGGGCCGAGTGCGAGGGTGGGGGATTTGACGGCCGGCGGCGATCTCTACTGCGGTGCAAAAGTTGGGCGCAGGGGCCAGGGCCGAGGGGCGATTAGCGCCACAAAACTTATCGATTGCGGGCGCATCGAGGAGCAGTAAGATGGTAGTAGAGGACATCACGAGCCAAGTATGCAACCATTTGAAATATATTAGTTGTTAAATAGAAAGGTATTAGATAGATCCTTGCTCTCCAAAATGCTTCATCTATAGTTTCGACTTGGCAGTCTCGGGATCTGCTACCTTTACAAGAATTTTGCCTGCAATAGTCAGTCTCCAAGTTCATATGCATTCAGTTACGAAAAAAAACATACCTGTGTTCTTGCCCTCAAACAGTCCAACCAGGGCTTCTTCAGCCTTGGTGATTCCGCCCTCGTAAATCGTCTCCTTGCGCTTGATCTTGCCCTCCGACAACCATTGGGCCAGCTCCTTCCTCGCCTCGGCGTATTTGTCCTCATAGTCGAAAATAACGAAGCCTTGCATGCGAATACGCATCGAGATGATCATCATGTAGTTCTAGCACGGCAATTAGCATCGTCCCAACCACTCCACCAAAACATCATCCACATACCTTGAGCCCGGCAGGCTTCTTGTTGTTGTAATCAGAGATAGCACCGCAAATGACGAATCTCGCATGCGGCTTCGCGCGGCTCAATGCCAAATCGAGAATCTCTCCGCCCACATTATCAAAGAAAAGATCAATCAGTCCCTTGGTCGCAGCGCGGAATTTCTTCACGAAATCAGGGTCCTTGTAGTTGAGCGCCTCGTCGAATCCTAGCGTGTCCTTGAGCCACGCAACTTTGCTGTCCTCACCCGCAAGCCCCAGAACCTTTGCACCCTTGAGCTTAGCAATTTGGCCCACTACGCTTCCCGTTGCGCCCGCAGCTCCGCTCACAACGACAAAATCTCCCGGCTTGACCTGTCCGACGTCAAGGAGACCAAAGTACGCCGTTAGCCCGGTCATTCCAAGGACACCCAACGCATCCGTTGGCACGGCGCCCTCGGGAAGATCCAGGGACTCGATGTCTTTTCCCTTAATGACGGCGTATTCGGCCCAGCCGCACATGGCCTTTGCGTAGGTGCCAACGGGGAACTTTGGGTTCTTGCTCGCCACGATGAGGCCGATGCCCTGTCCGCGCATTACGGCGTCGATTTGTACGGGGGGAATGTAGGAGCGTGTGGGATTGAGCCAGCCGCGCATGGCGGGGTCGATGGAGAGGTACAGGGTTTGGAAGAGGACTTCGCCATCCTTGAGTGAGGAGGCGGATGGAACTGGGTGAGACTTGGGTGTGAAGGTTTTGCCAGCTACGATGCCATCCTTGGGTCGCTCGGCGAGGTGGACTGATGTGTATGAGGGCATTTTGGCCGTGATATCAAAAAGAGATGTTTGGGGAACGGATATTGGGATGCGTATCGATTATGTAGTCCTAAGCTTCCGAGGTTGGGAGCTGCACTGCGTTGCTATCACAGCAAACGTGTCAATAAAAAAAGGGACAAAAGCAATGGTGAGACAATAAGAGAGGATCCCAAACTACGGGTCGCCCGCCATTTTGTTTGTATGCAGTCTGGTATCCGCACAGATTAGACCGAGCCAGCCACATTGGAGCTGGTATGCAGAAGATTGCGGAGAAAGGTGCCGAGGTTCGGATGGGAACTTCCTATTACGGACGCCGGGGTAGGTGCGCCGGTTGGCGCTGACGCTTAAGCGCCGCGGCTATCGAGTAATCACATTGCTGTCTGCATATAGAAGGCCCGAACAACGGGGTCCTACGAATACAATGGACACGGTGGAGTAGGAATACTGGAGTTCAGGGTTGCAGGATGCGGTGTGTTGGATTTATCCTGCAGATTGAGTTGCTACGTGCATGACAGCAAACCCACACGGGGATTCCGAGAACATGCATGGTATCTTGACATTCAGCGACATTCAGTTTTGGAATAACCAAGAACAGTCGTCATTCAGCTTCCTCCTCCATATCAACATCTCCTTCTTCACCTTCTTCTCCACCTTCGGCCCACCACAGTGTCGGACCAAGACCTGGTTGAGCCATCGAACCCTAGACACACAGTTAGACGTCTGCTTACTCACTAAGTTTTCATGTACTTACAATCACTCTCCAGGCCGTCGGTCTCTCTTCAATGATCTCGCCCTTTTCATCTTTTTCTACAATCGTCGGCCGCTGATCAAACCACTCTTCATGTTCTACCCTGAACAAAACCGGCTCTCCCTTGTCAAAAAAGAGTTCTGTTCCCTCCGAGTTCCATACCCAGACGTTCTCTGCTTGGGAAAATGACGAGTTCTCTGGGAGATTCTGATACGGTATGAAGATCTCTGAAGTGAATTCGAGATCGATGATGATTCCTTCTTGGTTGGAAGACTTTATGCGCCCATAGATAATCTCGCCACGAAAAGGGCGGAAGACAGTCATGCGGAACTCGACTGCATTTGGCGTGAGTATGGGGAGATTAGCAAACGAGTGATGACGGACCATTGACATTTACGAGTCCAGTACCATGGCCGATGAGACCCTCGGAAGCTGAGAGCAAATCCCACATACAAAGACAGAGGCCAATGTTGGGAATGATCCTGTTGCTATACTTGTCGTTGATGACATCCTTGATGGCTTGCGCGCTAGGCTTCTCAAAATCCTGCGGCTTGATTTGGATCAAGTCTTGAATCGTAGTCTAGGGGCTGGTCAGTGTTTCTCTATATAGCTCTTCCCACAGCAGCGGAGTGAGTCGCAAAAGTAACATGTGACTGTGAAGATAATAATGCTTTGAAATTTTCAACAGTCCATACATGTCATATCTCAGGTTCTGGGGCGCCGTCTCAACCGAACTTGACTTACGAGTATGAACATGTTTGCAACTTTGGAGGCTTCATGGATTTCGGTGTAGTAAGCGCTCGTCACCTATACATTATGATTGAGTTGTGAGATTCAGGAAGCAGAGGCGCGACTTGCGCACTGGTTAGCGTGGAGCTAGCGCTATCGATAACAACTTTTTGGATGGTCGTCGGACCACCGAGGCGCGTCTCATCTTCTGCCGTAACCAACTTTTCACTCTTCTTCACCAACTTCATTGCGCTTTCCCTTTCAGCGATAATATACCCGGAACAATGAACTAGATGTACCCTTTTTAATAAACAATCTCATAATTACCATAATGACGTTCAAATTCCCTCCACCTCCGCCACCGCCGCCCAAGGTTACGTCAAACGAGCAGCCATACCCAAGCCAACGAGAAGGTCACAACCGAGGAGGAGGCGAGAGAGGTCGCGGAAGAGGAGGAAATCAGAATAAAGGTGGCGGCTTTCATAACGCTGCCGGGAACTCAAGGGGCGGTCATGGACAGAGTCGTGGGCGAGGAGATGGGCGTGGTAGAGGCCAAAGGGGAGGTTATCAAAACAATAGAGGGGGTGGACACCACAGGAACGATACCAGAGATGGCCATGGAAACGACACTAGGAATGCGCCGCAGAATGTCGCCCCACCAGAAGCACATGCCAACCCCCAGTCTACGCCGTCCGCATATACCCAGCCCGGCCCTCAGTATTCTCCGCCCAAGCACGCAGGTCAGAAGCGAAAACTGACCGACCGTAACGACAATGCGCAGTCGCAGAGGAACCCCCAGCAACACAGCTCGAAACCGCCCCGAGCCAAGGCTGCCGTGCCACCACAGGTCCCCAGCTTTGGCTTTTCGCTGCCGCTACCCTCGATCCCGAAACTCGACAACAAGAAGCGCAAGGTCACTCTTGGGCTTTCACAAAGGGTCGAACAGGATGAAAGCAGTGGTGAAGAGGACGTCGACGAAGAGGCCGCGTTCTCCGCGAAACTAAAGGGCGGAGGTTTCGCTTTTGAGCACGAAGGAGAGACCATCACAATACAAACGGGCGCTGAAGTCGCAGCATGGATCAAGGATCGCAGGAAAAACTTTCCAACACAACAGAGGATCATAGAAAAACAGGAAGAGGCCGCGCGGAAACGCTCAGCGGAGCTTGAGTTTCTGCGCAGAATGAAAGGGAAGCCGCCAAAGGAGAACGAACCAGCGACACAGATTCAAAAGCAACTGAATAAGGATCGTGATGACGCCAAAAACGACAGCGCGAAACAAGAGGCGGAAAAAAAGAGACAAGAGGAGCTGGCTACATTGCGTAAAAAGTTACATGAGAGCATGGTGAAGAAGCAGTCGACACCAGCGACGGTAGACCTTGGACTGGGATACGATAGCGAGACGGAGCCGGATGAGGAGAGCTCAGTTCTCTCCGAGTCATCAGTCGTGTCCAGTTCAGAAGAATCAGAATCCGATTCCGATTCGGGCCCAGAGAGTGACGACGAGGCACCAGAAACGGCGTCATCAAAAACTGCTCCGCCGCCAATCAAAGTTCCACCTCCTCCGCCTGCGTCTGCGCGGGTAGAAACAAAGAGCAACAAAATGTGCACGAATTGGAAGCGAAACGGAAGATGTCCGTACTTGAGCAAATGCAAATATCAGCACCCACCAAAGGAGGAAGATAAAAAGCTTCAGGGGCTGTATGAGCGCATGGTGGAGCAGGAGCTTGTCAAGGCGGACCAGCTAGCGCTTGATGCAATCAAATACCTGGGGCAGAATGGATTTCTGGGGTGAGCATGTGAAGGGCATCCGGTGTTTGATACTATTCTCCAATGACATAGGTACATCCCTGGCTGCCAACCCAAACTTCATGCACCTTTTGCGCATCGACATCCCACCGCGCGCCAGGACCGACAGTTTCCTTGCTGGCATCAGGGTCGTTGGGATAGGTGTATGTCAGGGAGCCGTCCAGGACGAGATGTGTGGTTTTGCCGCTGTGCTTGTGCGGCGGGTAGTGGGCATTGCTATGCGGCGGTCAAACAGACGTAATATATGTAGGGAGATGGTGGTGCAAACTTACGGGCCATCTGTCCAGGTGAAGACATGGCCAAAACCCCACGACCGAACTTCGCTCTCTGCTTCTTTCCGTGACTTTGCCATTGTGGACGTGCTATGTCGAGTATGTGTTGAGTGGGACGAATAGGACGGATGTTTCGAAACGGTTGGACCCTGACACCCTGGGTGACGTCGACGCAGCTTGGCGAGGCGGGTGCGGCAATGGTAGCGATCAACGCAAAACGGGCATTGTTCCTCGTTCACAGGCAAATGACTTGATGCAGTATCTTCATGTCCAATGCCGCGTGGCATTTATCCATGGGCTCACTCCCTTGTCTTGCGCCCCACCAACTGGATCATCAAACGCCGATGCGGCAGCCAAGGCAGGCTCGAGCTGGAATATGAGGCCATTGCATCCATGCCTACGACATGACCACCCGCCTCTCTTCTCTTCTTATACACCTCTGCCACGCTCAAATCTCCTAGACGACCAAATTGACGGCTGCATTGCAGTAGACGAGCATCAATCCCGCCCAAGGTATGCTGCGCACGATTCAGGGAACACGCAAACGCACACTACTTGAAGGGGAAGCGCTGACATCGTTCGAGACAGCTGAGCTTCCTGCAGTCCTGCAGTCAGCATTCCTCCAAGAATTCGCCGGTCCTGCATAACTAGGCACCACCGTCACCTTGCGCCTTTGCTTCCAGTCCTACTCCAATTGTTCTTTTTAGTTTCCTACAACCCCCTCTACGTGCCTGGTGTTGCTGCCCCCCCAGCACCCCCCACGATGCCGGACCCCTCCAAGGATAGCAAGCTGGGTACGCCCAAGCTTGACAACCCCCAGCTCCAGGCTGGAGGAGGAACAGCCGCTGTCGCTGCCAAAGCCCGTACTCTTGATGACCTGTCAAACCTCCAAAGCCACCTCCGAGTCGTATACAATGAGATCCTGGCCCGTCACAATCTACAGACCAAGGACGGACAATTGAGCTGGCTCAAGGAGCAGAATGGCCCTGGCAAAGAATTCGAAACTGCAGTAGACAGTCACCTAGAGCTTCTGGGTGATGGCTCCTTTCCCTCCTTTGCCAACTACTTTGCCTCAGGACTAGGCAACGTGATGAAGCCTGCACCACCTCTAGATGAATCGCACCCAATTTCCAACTACTTCATCTCCTCCAGCCACAACACATACCTCACCGGTAACCAGCTCTCGAGCGACTCGAGTGTCGACGCCTACAAAAACGTCCTGATGCGAGGTTGTCGCTGCGTTGAGGTGGACGTTTGGGACGGTGACGAGCTCTCCGACTCAAGTTCAGATGAAGAAGCCGCCAGAGGTAATCCTGGCGCCGATGCATTGAGGAAGGAGAAGAAGAAATCCAAGACTGGTCTGAGCATCCGCAAACGCCTGGGCTTGAAATTCGGCAAGGACAAGTCAGAGGAAGAAAAAGACGATACGCCTCCGCCACCGCCTCAAAATGATGTACACAAGATTCAGCCCTGGCACTCTGCTTCATACAGCTCCCGAGCGGAACCAAAAGTATTTCATGGTTACACTTTGACCAAGGAGATGACCTTTAGATCTGTTTGCGCAACCATCAAAGAATACGCGTTTGCAGTATCCAGCCTACCCCTCATTGTCAGTCTGGAAGTACACTGTGGTCCTGAGCAACAAGAGATCATGGTCGAGCTCATGCAAGAGTACTGGAAAGGCATAATGCTCGAAGAGCCACTGGATCCAACTCAGAGCTTAGAGACGGTCGGCTTGCCTGCACTCAAGGAACTGGAAAACAAGATTCTTGTCAAGGTCAAGCGTGGTCATCCCAAGGTATCTCCTCCTCCTGAGCCACAAGCTCCCACAGCTGGTGGATCAGCGACACCGTTAGCACACACGGAAAGCCTGGACTCTGTAGGCTCAGAAGACGAATTTGGGCCAGACGGCGAGAAGAAGCCTCCAGCGCCAAAGCCCAAGGTCATAGAGTCTCTAGCGAGATTGGGTGTTTATTGTGGTGGCTACTCGTACAAGGGCTTAGACACTCCCGAGGCAAAGATACCTACGCACGTTTTCTCGCTTTCAGAAGGCACATTGATGGATCTTCATGAGAGTAACCCCACAGAACTTTTCGAGCACAACAAACACTACTTTATGCGTGCATATCCAAAAGGTCTCCGGCTAACGTCTTCAAATCTCAACCCCTCTGTCTTTTGGCGTGCAGGAGTCCAGATAGTGGCTCTCAACTGGCAACGCTGGGACGGTGGAATGATGCAGAACGAGGCCATGTTTGCAGGTACTCCTGGATGGGTCCTTAAGCCAGAAGGATATCGCAGCACAAGCACTGCGTCAACACAAAAGACAGCCATCCCCCATCAGGACATGGACCTGAGTATCGAGTTCATCGCCGGACAGAACATTCCTCTGCCTCCAGAAGAAGACGACCCCAAAGACTTTAAGCCATACGTCAAGGTCGAGCTACACGTTGAGTCGCACGAAGAGCGGAATGCCGAACCCGTACAAGGCAACGGAAGGAGCCAAAAGGGTGAATACAAAGTCAAGACCAAGACGGCTAGGACCCCGAATCCCGACTTTGGTCGCGAAGTCATCAAATTCACTGGCGTCCAGGGGGTGACGGACGAATTGACTTTTGTCAGGTAAGTTTCTTTTTCTCTTCTTTTCTTTTTTCGCTACGTGTACACATCGCCATGGGTTACACGCATCGCCTCTGTGCATACCGATTCAGGCCCGACCTATCGCACAAGAAGTCCCTGCACGAGTATCCAGACCTGATATGGTATTCGGTGTACTTTTGTGCTACTTAGGCACAGCTTGATGGTTTCACAGGCGCTGAAGTGGATGTGGAGATAACGGTCGTGGCATGCTGCTGGGACCCAAACTGCCAAGCTGCAGAATGCCGTGATTCCGGTATCAGGGCTTGTCATTTTCTTCGCTATGATAGCGCTTTTGTGCCTTGCTCTGCCTGTGCAGCCAGCCAGCTTCGATGCAGAGAATCAAGCACTGATCGCTGTGGCACAATTGATGTCGTCGTACCTGGGAGCATGCAACCAAGTCCCGGTAACACATGCTAACATTATGTTTCTGCAGATTCAAAGTCATGGACGACGAGCGCATCAGCGACGACCTAGCCGCCTGGGCCTGCTTCCGTCTTGATCGTCTACAAACCGGCTATCGCGTCCTCCACCTCTATGACGCAAACGGTGTGGTATCCAAAGGTGCACTGCTGGTCCGCATCACGAAGACGGTTAGTGCGGCTTGAGTTATCTCATGACCGTAGAGTATTTGCTTCTACTATTATTACCATCATTTCTTACAGTGTTTTTTTTTCTTTTCCTAACATCACTCCATACTACATACATACTTACATGTGTGGCCTATTTAGGTTCGGTGGGGGGTTTGACTAATGCGGATATTTTAGTTTTTTCCGGTCGGCCCCCGGTTTGGGCGTGGAAAGCAGTTTTCGCATGATAGTCTGCATAAACACCAGGGACTCGGGAAGACGCAGTCGTTGTATCACCCGAAAAAGGATGAGAAGCGGTGGTATCAGGTTGGGCGCCAGACATCTGTTCGGCTTAAGTGAGATTCGATAGTCTTGGAGCGGTGGTGCTATCAGCGAGATAGTGTGTAGTCTTTTCCTTGGCTTTTCCTGAATGCACATTGGTGTTTACACTGTTACTACTGGTCAGTCTTTCTCAGGCTGAGCCCATGCTATAACACATACCCTTGACAAACAGTACTTAACCAACAGTCAAATGGTTGAGAAATCCAACAAACTTTTTTTTATTCCACTGACAACTTCAACCTCGAACCAACCCTTCCACACAGCCTTACAAGTATATATGCCCAACCCCAACAAATTAACCCCCAATCTGCCCCAGAAAAGAAAATGCAGAATAAACCAAACAACCCCTCGCAAAGCTCAAAATGCACATTCACTCGCTACCCCATCTCTTCCTTTGACCTTGCTAACCCCCCAAAATTGCACTTTTGTTTTATTTAATTTTGTTTCTTTCAACTTCCACATAATCTCTCCTATCCGCATACCCAACCGTGAAAAAGCCAGATGACAGTGGTTAGATGAGCGAGTGAGTGAGTAAGCGATGCTAGTTCACCGGCGTCCCACATTCATGACAGTTCTTCCCCGGGACAACCCAGACTGTGTCGCCGCGCTCGAGGCAGGCGGGGCAGCGGCGACCAGGGACCTAAAAGTTTGTTACTATTGCTTATGTCCTTGATAATATGGTTCTCGTTGTCGGATACTGGGGGAGGGTAGGAAGTATGGAGCGAGTAAAAAAGGGGGNGGGGGGGGGGTGAAGGAAGGCGCGGGACGAGTGAGTGGTGATGGTGATGGTGATGGCGATGGGGTAATCAGTCTTATATGCTCATGCTCTGCAGACTTTGTATAACGGCTATCTAGGACTGTAGGGATACATGTGCAGGTTGTGTTGTAACGCGTGTATATTGTGGCGTTTTTTTAGCCGACATGGAATGCAGCTTCCCGGCTTGCAATGGGGGATGAGATGTGAAGTTTTCTGAGCTTCTTGTTTGCTCGGGTATCTTAGGTGCGCATGTGCGGGGGTGAGACAGTGGGGTCTGTCTCTTCTTGTTGACGGAATAAAGTAGTGACGGTTGAATCGGCGGGGATATGTGGTACAAAGGTCATGCTTGTAATGCAAGACGGAGACGTGAGTGTTGTGGTCCCTGTCGAGTTCCCCTGGCGAAGACGCTAGGGACATTCGAATTGAGGTTCTATGCTGTGGCACACCAATGGAAACACTGGTGTACATAGGTATCACGGAGAAATAACGGTTCAAGCGGAAATAGTAAAGGTATCCCCTTTATCCTTGTTCCTTGGTATATCGTCAAGGTTGGCGCGATGCAGTGGCACTGCGCACTTTGGTCTCTGCTTTGGAACAAAGAATGAATGAAATGGTTGCACAAACGTATGCTAGATCATGCGTATGTAAATACAAGTACCGTCTGGGTCTTTCTTCTCTCTAAATTCCAGAGTGTGTTGCATTCGGTAAGTGGTCTCATGTGTCATTGCACCAGTGCATCTTGATTTCATCAGTGAAGAAACGGGAAAGGCAGGGTGACATCTCGTTTATCGATTACGCTATTTGGTGCCAAAGTTGTTAGCATGAATGTTGTACTGGGTCGTAACGGTGGAGACGAAACTGCGTGTCGTTTGCGCGGGTGAGGCACATCAATTCGCCTTGTCAAATCATGGACCTGTGTTTTGTACACTGATTCCCAGCATGCCGCCTCTTCGTCTTCACGCTATCCACTATTTCTGATGCAATGACATCAATCGTAGCAGTGATTGACAAAGGAGGGGAATTAGCGGCTCGCGGATACTATTACTCGTTTTCTGCTCCTCGGCACAAACAGCACTGCCCTGGCCCACACATTTCCTGTAAGTAATTGCATGGGTAGTAAAGCTTAAGAGCGCTTATCAACAGTGCATTGTGGCATGTGCACCGAAAGACAGGGAGAGCTGCGGTACGGAGAAACTGATATCGATCGATTGGATCGCTGGTGCTAATATTGTGCCACGGGTGTCTGCTTAGAGTGACCCTGTTGTTGGCCATTCCCCTGGGCGTCTGGTCTGCAGCACCGGGCCGTTTGGTGTAACTGGCAAAAAGCGATGGTGGTCATAGACTGGATAAGGAATTGTGAGTCGTTTTGGTGCTGCTGCTTGATGGGTTTACTGCGATGGGCAGACGCAGTGCTATAATTGCGTGGTCTGGTTGTCGTCTAAGAATGATGATGTATGAGGGAAAACGGTTTCTGTATACTTGATCCAAGCCAGAAACCTACACATGCTAATTCACTTGGCATTCAAGCAAAGGAAGGAGCACCCTTGGACCCCTCGACGCATTAGTATCTTTATCCTAGCACTTAAGTAAGCCAAGCCGACGGGAATAAAGATCCACTCAGGTATATTTAAACATTAACCCTATCTACTTGCACACATTGTCCAAGGCAAGCAAAGAGCGTTGTCAGAAACTGGGTTGTTGAACAAATGAATTGATGCCAGATAGCCCACCCATCTCCATTCATCTGCTTTCTACATACCCCTCCCTTATGCCCTTAGACTAACCCACGAAAAAAGAAACAAACTAGTGCACACGCACTGTATTGCACTGCACTCCAACTCTCACCAAAATAGGGGGGTGAGAGTGGCCTACACAAGTATGTATGTGTGTATGTGCTGATGCAATGCCTTAAACGCCGTAGTATCCAGATATGCTACAGAAGCCTTTTGAGCCCGGGAATCAAACTTGGTCATGATCGTCGTAGAGTGTGGTGAAGCACACGCTGGCCTATGCATTGGCATGGGACCAGTTCACCACAGGTGGTGAGCGGTAACAGGTACAGCACTAAGATTTGCTGGCTGTCTGGCGCTCATGCTGTGTCATGACCCACCGCATCTTGTCGCGCGTCTCGACCATGGCGTCTACCAGCTTCTGAGCCTCGCGCTCCTTTTCTGGTAACGCGCGTCGCAGACTCTCTGCTTCGGCGATAAGGGCGTCCATTTCCTTGCGGTGCTCTTTCTTGTACGCTTCCATAAGGTTGGTGAGCTTGGCCTCGGTTCGGGTGGAGCGGGATGACTCGTGTTGTAGCTGATCGCTTATGATAGCCTGGCGCTTGATCTTATCGGCGTCTTCTAGTCGCTTGCGTCGCAGCTCGTTCAGCTCCTGGTTGATGAGGCGGACCTTGTTCTCGTAGCCGTCGGTGATGCGCTTGAAGCCGTCGCGTGCCGTCTCGAGGTTGGTGTCTGCCAGACCCTTCATTTCGTACGCCTGTGCGAGCTGTCGCTGCGTCTCTGACCGAGTGTCGCCCAGCATCTTGAGGGCTTCCTCGGCTCTCTGCTCTGCCATCTTGCGCCGGCGGATCTCGGTGTCGAGCGTGGCCCTGAGCTCTTCCAGCTTCCGGTCCTTCCGCTCTATGGCACGCGCGTTTGTGTCAGCAAGGACTTGGAGGTGCTGGTACTCGGCACGCGAGTCTTCGGCTCTGGTTTGGGCGGCAGACACGCGCTTAGCTTCATCTTCTCTGGCCAGCTTCTCGGCAAGCAGTTCTCGCCGCAAACGGTCGTTTTCTTGGGTGATCTTGTCAATGTACTGCGAAGTCTTTGAGTTCGGTGTGCTGTGGTGATTTGGGCGGGCCCAGGAGTTGTTCTCGTCGGTAGCCATTGGGGACTTGTCTACGGCGAAGGGACCTGAGACGTTGCGAGGTGATGTATACGAGGGCATGACAGCCGGGGATTTGGAGCGTATGGGGGTTGCGTTCGCAGTGCGAAGAGCGTCGTCAGGCCAGGGTGCACCGTTCATGTCATTTCTCTGGAGAACGCGGCTGAAATTGAGTTCGGGCAGATAAGGAACAGAATCTTTGTGGCACAAGTTAGCATGAACTTGGGGCTGCAAGCGTCCCGTCGGATAGAGGCGGGGCGGAGGCACGCAATTGCTGCGTTGAGGCGGCAGTGAGAGAGTGATGGTGGTGTTGACGCTCGTTCCCCGAGATACGCCATGTTTGGCACAGGGCACAGGGCACAGCGAACGACAGGGGCCCCACTCTGGGCGCTAAGCCTTACCTGGAACCGCAGTCACCAAGACTCCCTTTTTGCGGCGAAACATGATCCATACTACGCTTCGAGCGCGCATTTCCATCGGCCTTGCCATCTATTTTGTAATCAGCCAGGCCATGTCTGTTGAGAAACACGCTTTGTCCGCCCCAGCACCTCGCTGCCCTCTCGTAGGGCGCCTGCATCAATGCACCGCATAGACGGCAATCTCATGGGAGATTGTTGGCGACAAGAAGACAAAAAAGCATATACCCTGTGGCTCCTGGCATTGTCCCGTACCTTTCCCATGGCTGTCTCTGTCTGGTGCTTATGTATATCTCTGTGTACGATACGTTGTCTCTGGTTCAGTTGCGATTCGCTTGTTCCGGTCCGTCTGAAGGGCGAGGTTGGCAATGATTGAGCGCAATCCTTTTGTCGACCAGACCGTGGGCCAGACAAGACTCATCTATCTTTGTACAAGGCCTGGACTAGCCATCTTCAGCCGCTTGCTGTCTTTCCTTCTGGCCTGTTTGCCTCCATCTTCATCCCATAATCATCATTGACATGCAGGGTGCGCCAATCACCGAGCACCCTCTGGCCAGGTACGGGCCGCTATGGGGCCGGCTCCCCAGCGACAGCCTTACTCCAAGTGACGTGTGCGTGTCCACTCCTATGAAACGCGCCATGTCAATTTCTGCAGCAGCGTTTTGCTGTGGTGGGGTTATAGGGTTTACGCTTGCTTATACTTGGGATACACATGCTACGTCTGTTCTTGGGCATGCTAAACGCATATCCAACCGCCATGTATCCCTTGCAGACGGCCATATCACAACTTCCTTTGTTCCTCAGAAAAGACCGATTAGACTCATGCGCCTCATGCTCCTCTTCCAACATACTCCACATTAAGCCACACACACACGTGGCTCAGCTTCACCGCTAATGAAGCCCAGCCAATGTCTTGCTTACACACAAGACCATACGCGGCAACAGGACCGATCCAAACATGTACCTGGTGTTTCATTGCGCTGTTCAAACTAGTGACGAAAAGTGTTGGTCTCACAGGCAGTCTGGTCTGTCTAACACCCGCCCCTTTGCGTTTCAGACACAATGGCATTGCGTAGACGTGCATTGGACGGCGAATGACAAAGACTAACTGTCCACCACCTTGCCTTATGTGTTGTCTGATTGTCTCATCACAGCACCTAGGCAACTCCTTCACATGCTATCCAGTACCTTCAACTCAATCACCTCGGCAAGCGTGTGACAAATTAAAGGCGGATATCAATTTTTCCCGACTATGTACACTTCCTGTGGAAAAAAACTCCAGATCTACATGCCAGAGTCTAAAACATATCGGGGGCCTTCTTCACGCGCGTCTTGCCCTCAAATGGCTTCTCTGACGAGATGTCGTTGTTCCTCAGCTTTTCCAACTTCCGCTCATTTTCTTCATAGGCCAGTTTCTTGTACTTTTCAATCACCTTGTCCATTTGAACTTGGCTTCCAGCAGGCACGTTGTATGGGGATCCAACGTTCATGATCCTGCCAATTGTTAGCATTCACCTCTCTCAACAACCATAAATTCCATGTTTCCATGTACAACTCTATCCGGGTATAATATTGCATATTCCCCAATGTGCCAGGACAAGACGTACTCTGGGAACTTCATCTCAACGTGCTCCTGCGGCTTCGTGTTCAAAAACAACACTCGGTCCTCGCCCGCCTGCTCAATCATCCTCACGTGCAAATCGTTCTGCGCAGTCCACTTGTCGTGCAATCCAGTCGTTGCATCGGCAATCAAACGGGTAAAGTACGGCTTGCTGTCATCGCCGTCGGTGCGCGAGATGCTGTATAGGGCCAGACCTGCGGGGATAACGCCGATTGTGCCCCAGAAACCCCACTACAAATGCCAATTGCGTCAGCGTATCTTCTCTTAACATTTTGGTTGTTTTCTAGGATAGCATTGTGGCATTTCGAGTGTACAATTGAACTGGGTCGGAGAAATGGGGAGGGAGGGGACATACGCCCATAGGCTCGTCGACGGCCGGGCTGGCATGGCCATGAGCTTCGTCGTGGGCGTAGCGGCGCGATTGGCGCGACAGCGGGGTTCGGCTCGTGCGGGAAGCAGCCACTGCTGTCCGGCGGAGTGACTGCATCGTGTGAGTATAGGGCGGCGTTTGGAGGTCGTCGGCCGTTGTGTTCGCGATGATGCTGAGCTGCGAGAAGCTGGTTTAGTCAGCAAGATTAGCGGCTTGGCGCATCGTGCACTGCCAGAGTTGATCAGTAGTTCCTTAAACCATTTCTTCGATGCGAACGTACAACGTAGCATGAATTCATCAGCCTAGAAGTCACAGATAAGAGAGTCGCTCAGTATCTTCTCCGAATTATCAAAATCCATGTTTCAATCAGACTCAGCATCAGGCACGCAAAGCACGACTCCAAACACTCATTACCGCGAAGACACCGCGTAAGCAAGGTGCAGTGAAAATCATTCGAAACTGGCCCGTTAGTTATCAATACTCTCGTAAGCCATGTCCCACATGTTTATCGTCATTTCTACAATTGGCGCATCATCACGTTGTATGCGGATGTGCCGAAGCGTTACGGGAGCAATACGACGGACAATGCCGGGATAATTTTAGACCCCCTCCCCCCTTGCCCTATACGGTGTTGCAGATTTGAGTTGCAGCTCTGGTCTGGTATCCCAAAAGACGCGCGCCTCTGACCAACTTTTATCTCTACGCGAGATACTCATACCAAAAAACCAGCCTGCAGCTCTGGTGCGCTCGTCGAGCAACATCATACGCCAAGATTTGGTGTGTTGCGAAGCATTACCGTCAGCCGCATGTTTCCCGCGAGTCTTCCATCCCACGGGTCAGCTTATGTCATCCTAATACGCCGAACTCAAAGTCTGGTCCTGCGTCGTACCGCAAAATCATTCAGTCTTTGGCGTATAAATATTTCTATTTTTTTCGTTCGCTGATGACAGTCCGCTACAAAGCAGATAAATACAGGTACACCATGTTTGCGAACGTACGATCAAACGTTGACGCCTATTTAACGATCGATCCAGTCTATTGGCTCCCCGATCCACGGATGAGCTTGCGTATGTCATGATGAACAGGGCAAAGTCTTAAGCTGCTAGTCGCTCCACTCGTGGCGTTCGGTTTTGATTCCAGAAGCCCCCTGAAAAACAAACTTTCCTCACGCTCCTTTCCAGTCAGAAACGCCAAACGCGCCAATAAGCATTAATGTTGAATTTCATACTTGATCAACTGTGTTGGGATTCTCGGTGCAAATCCCTGATAAAGAGACAATTTGGACACACACCCTTCTCACTTGTGCTTTTCAAGGATCTAATAGCTTTCAACCAGGACAGTATACAGTATGCATTTCGCACAATCTCAGTTCGTGTTGGATTATTCAGCTGCCGCAGGGGCAGCCGCTAGACGCCACTACCACTAAAATGGTTCTCGATACGACGACCTGAATTTTCAGGAAAACATAGTTTGCCCATTTTGGAATGATTTATGCTACGTATACGTATGCATGTTACCACGGATGTCGGTGCGTACGTCAAAAACGACCCCGCCAAAAGAATCCGGGTGTTCCGTGCAGAGCCTGAGCCTATCAGTCACATGAAAAGCACCGGGCTCTTGGACCTGGCTCATTTATTGTAACAAGTGTACATGTTTTGAGACATGAATGCAGCAGTGCATGCCGCCTTATCATTACATACACTAGATCCCGGAACCTGGTACGACCAGGGGAGTACACCAGAAGCCGGACTAGGTGCCCATGGCTTGCGCTATGGCGCGACTGTCGCTTTGTGAAATACGTCCGTACCGCCACCAGCTGATGTGGAAACAATCGTAAAATCCATGGCTCCCTGAACTTTCAGTTCTCACTTCTGATAAGCAGTCTTCACTTTTGACTGATCCGCCTCCTTGCCAGATTCACATCGCAGTCCTTGCACCATGCATCGAGCGGCATCGCTCGTCCCAAAGATCTTACTGGGAATTCTTTCCCTCTGCATTTTTTATCAAGTTTACTGGTTAGAGCCAGAACCAGTTGCGTTGCAGCAGAGCGACAATTCCAAATCAACATGGTTTCAAGATGCGCAAAAGGCAGAACCACTAGACGCCCAGGGTACGAAGACTTGAGAGCAATTATCATTGCAGACCTGTACTGACAATCTATTAGCATCAATTAGTGCCACTCTTTCAGTGTCTGATATCTCCATTCCTTCACCATCCAGTTCATCCGCTCCTTCACTATCCGCTGCCTCTGCTCCTTCAGCCTCTATTACCTCCGCTTCATCCGCTTCCAGTACCCCCACTCCATTGCTCGACTATAGCAAAACGCACATCTCCTACGGCCACACAAAATGCATGCCAGATTTCGATAAGCAGTGGAAGAAACAAGCAGTGATACGCAAAGAATCATGCGCAAAACACGCGCCCTTTGAAACTAAAGAAACCCGCCGAGTCGCCCTCGCCTCCATTACGACCGGCAAAAAAGTAGAAGCCTACCAACGCGCAGTCCAATCGCACATGCTCCACGCCGCCGTCCACGACACCTCCGCCCACATCCTCTGCGAAGACCTCGCCGACGGCGCCTGGAACAAAATCGCCTTCCTCCTCCACCTCGTCCAAAACGAGCTTCTCAAGCCCAACAACACCCGCTTAGAATGGATCCTCTGGATCGACCGCGACGCCATAATCATGGACCCGTGCCGTCCTCTCTCCAGCTTCCTTCCCCCCGACACCCCCGAATACGCAAACGTCAATCTCGTCGTCAACCGCGACGCCGGCGACCTCAACGCTGGACTGTTCCTCTTCAAAGTAAACGAGTGGTCCGCTAAACTCTTCAGCACAATCCTCGGCTACCGATACTACCGTCCAGACGACGTTCTCCCGTCTGCAGAGCAAACAGCAATGTCGCGGCTCCTCAGTGAACCCTACTGGGCAGGACAAGCAGCCTGGGTGCCCTGGTACTGGTTCAACGCGTACCCCGCGCCCAACAACAGCATTGTCGATTTCGCCGCGGGCAACCAGCCCAAGAGTCTAAAATGGTTCCAAGCCCGCAAAGGCCACTTTGTCGTGCACTTTGCAGGCGACGAGGGCCGAAGCGCGCGCATGCTGGATTGGCTCGATGTCATCGAGACCATGGATGTGTGGAAGGAGGGCAGTGCCAAAGTAGATGTCACGGCTGAGGTGAAGAAGTATTGGGATGCGTTCAGGAGCGGTGCGTTGAAGCTATGGCAGAAGACGGGGAATCCGAGGGATAAAGAAAGGGAGGCGAAGGAGGAGGAGGCCAGGAAGAAGGCGGAGATGATGAGGGTGAAGGAGATGGAGGAGATGGAGGAGGCGAAGAAGACGATGGAGATGGAGGAGGTGGAGGAGGCGAAGAAGGCGATGGAGTTGAAGCTCGTGGAGGACGTCACGCCGCCGTCGCCGCAACAGCAAGGGCAGCGACTCGAGGTTGATGAGACGGAGAATCCGGGCGGTTTCTTGAGGCCGTATGAGGATGTTGCTAATGGCAGCAACGACAATGATGTCGAACTTTCCTAGTTTGTTCGTGTTGCCTTGTACTTTTAGCTTTTCTTTTTCTTTTCTCAAGTTTTGGCAGTCTATATGCCCTTTTGTTTTTTCTTTTCCTGAGTTGAGACGATGTTACTGGACTATGATGGGGAGAACCTGCGTTGGGTATCAGGTCTTTCCCCTTTCTTTACGCTTTCCCTTAACGATATCCAATTAGACTTTGAGTTCATTCTAGTAATTAAATAGATATTTGGTAGGGCTGGTTTGTGGCTTCGTCCCGTTTTTTTAGAGTGCTTTTTTAGTATGCTTGTCGCTGCATCGTTGGCGCCACGCTTCTGCAAGGGGGGATGGTGGGTTCGCCAACGTTTGGTCTAGACCATCACCCCTTTCTTTCTTTTTTTCTGATCGTTGTTCTTTGTTGTTGTTATTTTGCTCTTATCATGCAACTCTGCAAAGCGTTTATGAGGGGATGTGCGCAAAGTGTTGGTTGAAGCGTAGCTCTTGTGTGTCATATGTATTGATTGTTTTTGAGAGTTAAAACTAAATGACAGATCCAGAGCTCGCCTACCCATTCCCAAAGTTTTCGGAAATTGTGAATGAAACCCTTTCATCACAACAAATGTGTTCTAGCCAAGTTTTCAGGGTCTTCCTGAAGTCGAATGCCTGCCCCGGAATGCATAGACTGGCACTTGGAAATGTGTGTTGCTCGTTTTGAAGATCATAAACATAAAGGGAATGTTGCAGATTCTACTCAATCCAATACATGATCTCGTATCTCCAGAGCCATACAATCACCCAGAAGTCGGTATTAGAGCCCGCCTACTGATGTGTCCATGACATGGAGTACACTTGGTTGCAAGTTTTTCATGAGGGCTATGGATCAAAATATTTGGTGATTGTGAAAACGAATAATGAAGCTGAGATCTTCTTATTACAGATGAGGAAAAACCTGTGACCACGTCGGCGTCTCATACACGCCTCGCGGAACTTCCCTTATACTCACAAAAGCCTCTATCACTATGTATGCCCTACTGGCAATATAACTTACCCCACATAAAACGCAAAGAGTCGTAATGAATGCTGTGCTCAGAACGCTCAATGTCCGCTGGTTGTAGGCATTCCAGATCCTGTCGATGAGAGGAAAAACATGGGCCAAGAGGTTAGTCACCAGCCAAAAGGCTGCGCAAAAGGTTACCCATACTGAGCTCATGCGCCAAAACAGTTGCTCTAATCGAGTGGAAAAGAAGTAATTCCATGCAGCTACGTGTATGCCGCCGTATGCCATAGACGCGCCCCAAAGCACCATTCCCATGACGAGTGATTGGGTGCGTCGAAGTAAACCATCGTTGGGCCAGTCGATGGCGTATGGTTGCACCAGCTCGGTTACTTCGGGTATCTTGTATGACGGCTCTGAGCATTCTGTCTCGAATACAGGGTGAAATTGACCTTTAAGGACTGGATATAGCTTGATAGCCTTTTCTGCAAGACTTTGCAACTCGGACGTAGCTTCCATGGGAGAGTTGCATGATGCTGTCTCAGCTTCTTGATTCGCGATTTGGATATTGGGCCGTGGTCGCAATCTACCGGCAGTAGGGAGGCAAGTTGTATTCAGACTTTCCCTGTTGCTACACATATAGCTTGTTACATTTTCGTCTTCAAAGTAAGCCAGCTTTGCCAGTTCAGGAGTGGCTGATCGGAAGATAGCGAGCTTGCCCTGTGGTTGTTTCCCACTCATTCGGCTGGCCATGTACATATAGGCGATCAAAGGCATCAAGTCCCCCTTCAAGATGGTGGGGGAGGCTACCTGACGAGGTTTGTGCCACCATAGGATGTACATGACGAGCGCGCAAACAACATGGGCTACAACGTGTACTTCGAGCAAGGTGGTCGGCAGTCCGACGGCAGTCCGACTGATAACTTGGACAATCATCCATCCTGCTTGGATGCACACAAGTAATTTTGCAAGGCCGTCTGCTTTGTTTTTGTCCTTGATCTCTTCGAGGGATATCTCCACAATATGTCCGCACTTGGCGAGTAGTAAGACACCTTTCGCCGTTAAAGTGAGACGTGTCACATCCTTGAACAATGTCGAACTTCGACGGCCAGTGCTGTCTAGGTCGAGGGCGAAACCGCCCATACTAGCGTAAAGTCCATGTGTGATAGTCCATGGGGTTTTTGGGTCCTTCATATGAGTCTCAGTCACTGTTGTACTCTATCGCTGATTAGCACTGCTAACATGTTATGATCGACGAGCTTACCTTGTCACAAGTTTCATTGCGGTTCTGCTGCTTACTTGTTATATTTTCTATCTCAAAGCATAGCTGTCTTGCGGAAGCCAGCTGTCTCCAGGCGGTATACAATATCAACTCTGGTGCAAATAGGCCTAGAACACACCATTGGAGTTCCTTTGATAGCACTCGATAGTTGCCTTCGCCCTTGTGCGGTACGTTTAGGTGAACAGCCGAATAAACACACAGCCCAAGCGTGGCGAAACAGCTGATAAGCAGGGAAATCGTATCGCGTTCATTGTCTTCTTGAACAAACCCTACAACATCTGTAATGTTGACTTTGTTTCCGCCGATAGCGGTGACATTTTGGACAAGGAAAAAGAGGGCAGAGCTGCATAATGCTAAGGGCATAGTCTGAAAAGATCAACATAAAAGGTGTAGATGAGAGTGGAACAATGTTTACTGGCAGTCCCACTTGAACTATGATCGAACCATCATCCATCTGCAGTGTGCCACTGTACGTTGGGCTCGCGTAACTGGGCGGCAAAACAGACGTAGGATTGAAGCCGCGTATCAAATATACAGCCTATGCAGGATTTCACATGATGAGACACACATCCATCAACGGCGTGGCAAACAATAGTTGGTGATGATTTTAGTCGAAGATAACACTACAAGTATTACTACTACGCCGCAGGACCATGAAACATGGAGTGCATTGCACTTCAGCATCTGATCCAATCCTGGGCGCAGATTTCCCCGCTCTCTGTAAGGTATGCTTCCCTTTGGCTGCATATTCTAGGTCGGCTGAAAGCCGTGCGCGTCAAAAGTTAACCTCGGCTTGTTGATTGGATGGTCGGCATGAAGCTGAGCACGAAGGAGTGGAAGGATTCAGTACCATGCGGGTGTTTTGGGCGCTTGGAATTGATCCGTGCACCGACCTTCCCGTTCTTGCACTGGAGCGCATACCCTACCACTTTCCCAACCAACTTTATCTCTCCAAGTCAGAACTCTGCCAAACATAGGATGGATGTTCGTTCTCGAAAGACTGCTTCAACAGTGACAGCGGTTGCCGAAAATGCAGTAGGTAAACGATCGCCACGAGCATCGACTTTGAGACTGACATCCACCAGACTGACCCACGTGATCGAATGAAGAGCAAAGAGCGAGCATCACTATTGACATGGGATGAGATACGTAAGACAGCTACGTGAAATACTGTTATGAATAACTCACAATCTACATAGCCGACTGGTACCAGTACGTACTTTGATATATCACCTACCTTGATTATGGCCTTACCAAGACAAGGGACAATGAGTATCTTCTGTCTAGTTACAGGTACATTTTCAAATATTATACAGACATATTCTTCAGTAACTGAGAGTTAATGCAGAGCCGTATCGCAGTCTTACAAACGATCTTTAAAAAGTATTCTCGGCATTCATAATGAAACAGGTAGGATTGTGCTCGACCAACTGAGAAGAACATAACTGAAATATCATCTAGTCAACATATTCTCGCATATAATAGGGTCTATCGTCTTCTTCACACTACCCGTACCCATCTACTGTTCTTTACAACCAAGATATGCTACGGCAACGACAGCAGATGTCGTTGTCTTCTCGACATTCTTCTTCGGCGTTGCTATATGTTTTGCATTGTCGGCTATGTAGGTATTCTCGAAGACCTGTCTTGGAAAATCTGGATATTCACATGCAACATAGCTTCCACATCTTCAACAACCACAGCCAGAGTGTCCACATATTTGGAAACCAACTGGATTATGTAAGAAAACTTGATCTGCCCTTCGCAACCGACAGCTCATTTAGCCAGCTTGGTATCGTTATTTTGATGTGGGGCTCCACAATTCCTTGCGTTTATTACGGCTTCTACTGCACACCCCATCTACAAAAGACCTATTACTCCCTTGTGTCAGTCCTAGCAGCCGGTTGCGTGTATGCAACTCTTCACCCTGCTTTCCGTCGTCCAAAGTACCGCCCATACCGTGCAGCCATGTATGCAGGCCTTGGGCTCTCATTCATCATTCCCATCATTCATGGAATTACGATTTTTGGTTGGGAGACGCAGATGTGGAGAATGAGTCTTGACTGGATGGCATTGATGACGGCTTTCAACCTTACTGGTGGTGCCCTATACGCTATGAGGGTGCGTTGCTTATCTTGGAACAATCCAATTCTGCTGTGCGAGCATAAAGCTGATGAGCAACAGATTCCCGAGAAGTGGTATCCTTATCGATTTGACGTGTGGGGCGCGAGCCACCAAATTATGCATTGCTTGGTCGTGTGCGCCGGCATTGCACATTTGTATGGTCTCTTGAGGGCATTTGACCATATACACGGACACGGAAACGCTTGTACCGTATTACACGAATGAACTCGACTCGCACGCAGAGAAACCTTATTTCAAGAAATTCAGTATTACAGATGCATGGTGTAAAGATTACGTTATTGGCGAAGAAAGTGACACTGGGCATCATGTCATCAACACACGATTGTGACCAAAATACGGACTTGTTAAACTGGACGTCGGCATTTACGAACAGCATTTGAACGCAACACTGGGATGTCATTTTTGGACTGAAAGCCCGTCTTTTAGATCTTCTTGTGCAAGGTCAATGGTGTGGGGACTAGCGGACCGTTGCCGCGCGCAAACCAAAGTCGTCATGTTTCCCGAGTCCTTTCTGGGAATAGAACAAGAAATCGCGGGACATAGGCAAGATCTCCTGCGTATTAATGCCAGGATGACCCCGCGTTGAGTACCAGTTCCTCATCGCGCCAAGTGGCTGCTTTTGGTCAGTTTAATCTCTTTACTGCGACACCGCCTCAAGCGCGGCCTTTTATTTCGCACAACCGTCGTAGTTCATTCGTCCAAACAGCTAGCTACATAGCCCAATACCTATAATCGGACGGGATGAAAAGATACGACATCGCCAATAACTTACGCCGCAATGTACCTCGGTATCTCTCGGGCCCACAAAGCCATGCACGTAGCTTGTCAGAGTGGAGCAAATAGCCATTTCACCGCATAAACCACCGTCGTTAAACCTAGCAAGATGGCATCTTGCATTTAATCCATCCTAGCCGCATTCCAGACGTTCCTTCTTTCCCCAACTTCTTTTCCCCAAATCACATCAAATTTCGCATTTCACCTACCCCAGTAAACTCTATCTGAACCGCAATAATGTCTCGCCCAATCGAAATCGTCGCCATCGTGCAACCCAAACCAGGAAAAGCAGACAGAGTGCGTCGCCTACTCAGAAGCCTTCCTACTCTCGCATCTTGCCATTAACATGATATGAAATGAATAGGTCCAGGAAATTCTCACCAACGCCGCGCAAGTCGTCAAGGAAACTGAACCCGGAATTCTGCGCTACCACCTCCACCGCGAGGTCAAAGGCGACAGTCCAAGATTCATCATGCTGGAGAAGTGCGTCACTCTCTTTTCCCCCAAACGCTTCCTCTCCCTTTCTGCCCTTTAATCTCGGCATCTCATACCGCTACTTGCTGGCACATACACACACACACACACATACACACACACGCTTCTCCACGTTCCAAGCTGTGCGCTCCCTTGAAACAATACAAGGATGCTACTGCCCAAAAAAATTAAGATTCCGAATGCTAATTTTTGTCTGCGACAACAACAGATACGCGGACAAAGCCGCACTAGACTTTCATGTTAAAAGCGACATTGGCGCAAAAGTAGCAAACGCGTTCAAAGACGAGGATTTGGTCGAGAGCCCGATGAAGGTTATTTTTGTGAAGAGCGTTGGCGGATACGCTAGCAAGTTGTAAATTGTAACATTACGTCGTATTAATAAGTGTGGTGGGAAGACTGGGAGGGGAGGTTAAATGAGCGTTGTTAAAGCAAGTGATGGGGGAGGGTAATGTTTGAATGAATTTTCATTACTTTCATGTTCAACAAGGAGCGAATAAAAGAAGTGGATATTCTACTCGACATGGCCGATTGGTAGAAATGCACGAAGAAAAAAGGATGGATTGAAGGATATAGGTAAAAGTAGCACAGATGGAGAAGAATGCTTAATATGTAAAGTGATTACAAGTCACGAAGCAGGGGGCCAAAGGAATGGGGCAAAACAAGAGCATCAACGCTTGGCGCGGTTTGTTGCAAGCCTTTGCCCTTTTTAATTCCCGCCATACCAATAATCGGCGAAAAACTCCACACCCTGACCGGTCCGGTTGGAAGGCGGTTGCGGCCACTTAGTCAACGTGGTGTCGCTGCCAGTAAGTGTAAACTTGACACTAGCAAGCGGGGCATTGTCAATCTGCAACTCATAGTCTCCGGGATACAAGACCTTGTTGCCAGACTCGTCGACACGTGCAAGAGACGCAAGGGTAAGGTTGAGCGTGGCGGTGGAAGAAGAGCCGGCGGCGATGTTGAAGAGACGGTCGTAGGCGACGAGAGATTTCTTGGGGTACGGCTTGGGGCCGAAGGAGCCGGTGAGGAAGCCGAGAGTGACGTAGTCGGAAGAGATCTTTCCTGTGTTTTGGACGCTGACGGTGATGCCGGTAAAGGGGCAGCGCTCGAGGAAGCCGCCGGTGCTGTTGCAGCCTTTGACGAGGTCGGAGATGGCGTAGCTCTGCTTTGGCTGGTTGGTGATGCTGGCGGAGAAGTTGGTGTAGTGGAGACCGTAGCCGAATTCGAAGATGGGCTCGCCGGTGTACCACTTGTATGTGCGGCCTGGGTTCTTGTCGCTTGGGCGCATAGCCATGTCCGTCATTGGTACCTCGGAGACATATTTGGATGGGTATTGTGTTTGTGGGAGACGTCCGGCAGGAGCAGCTTTTCCAGTGAGAATGTTGACGATGGCTGTGCCGCCGTCTTGGCCGGGGTATCCGGCCCATAGGACCGCAGAGATCTTGGGGTTCCTGATGAGTGGGGAGGTATCTATCTGACCACCTCCCATGATAACTACGATAACCGGCTTTCCAGTGTCGGCGAGCTGACCAATAACATCAAGCTGGCCACCTGTCAAGGTCAACCAGGAGCGGTCTCGATCTTCGGATTCAACGCCATTGTCAATTCCGCCGACCCAGATGTGCACGTCACTCGTGGTGATGACACCGGAGAGGCTAGACCAGGCGCCTGTAGTAGGGTCTCCCTGACCGCCTGGGAGATTGCCCGCATATTTAACGTCAACACCAAGATTTTGGAGGGCCATCAATGGACTGGTCAAGAATTTGGCGACTCCAAAGTAGTTGCCCTGCAATTGCGAAGTGGCGTTGGCCCAGTCACCGTAGATACCAACTTGCTTTGAGCCCAAGTTAATTGGAAGAACGCCATCGTTCTTCAGAAGAACGATGCCCTCCTCAGCAGCTTTGAGTGCGAGTGCCTGAGAAGCACTCGTTGCTACCGCATCAAAGCCAAGCTGGCGATAGGGCTGGTTTTCAGGCGCATCAAAGTAACCAAGTTTGATGAGAGAAGAGTATTGGCGAATGAGAGCTTTATCAAGGGTAGTCTCATCAGTGAGACCTTGCTTGACGGCGCCAGGAAGATGCGTCTGCAAGTAAGTACCACAATCCAGATCAGTGCCCGCATTCAGAGAGTCGGCAGCAGCACCCTCACGAGTCGAAGACCATTGGTGAGGCAAGTACACGTTCTGAATAGCATCACAGTCTGATGTGACCCAGTGGTCATCACTGGACCAGCCCCAGTGTTCACGGAGAACTGTCTGAAGCAGGTAAGGGTCGGCACATGGTGGCGCACCGTTGACGGCGTCTGGAATAGCGTTATTCGTAAATTCACGTTGGGTTGTTGCTTTTCACGACTTACTGTAAGAGCACATAAAGGCGCCAACATTAGCTTGAACACAAGCCTCGAATGGAGCTAGGTAGTACTCGACGAGGTCCTGCTGTGAAATCTGAACATCGTTTTGGTAGCGGAGGTTGCCGTTCCAGTTTTCGATGTCGTATCCAGCATAATGCTTGCAGGTAGCGACCACACGTCTGTAAGGGTCCGTTGCATTACCTTGGAGTCCATGGATCAGAGCCTTGACGTAAGAACTAAGGTGGTACGAGTCTTCTCCGGGAGTCTCTTGCCCACGACCCCATCGAGGATCACGGAATGGATTGATGTTGGGCGTCCAAAAGTCGAGACCCGTTCTGTTGGCATTGTTAAAAGCGCGCGCCTCGGTGGAAATAACCTTTGCAACCTCGGTAATCAGGTCATCGTCAAAGGCAGCACCCATCAGGATAGGCTGAGGGAAGGAGGTTGAGTAGCTGTAGTCGCCTTGCTTGGCGAAGCTAGTAAAGGGACCTGCAATACCGTGGAGTCCCTCGTTCCACCATTGGTAAGGTGGCACACCGAGACGGGCAACGCCAGGTGCGCTGTTGGAAGTAGCATTGATCTTCTCCTCGAGGGTGTAAAGTGCTACAAGAGACTTTGCACGAGCGAGCGTAGCTAATGTCTGTTAGTCGGGAAAAAGCGCGTAGTATTCTACGAGGGCGACAAACATGCTGAAGGGTCACATATGGTCTCATTTTTCAGTGGTCCGTTTTTGCAATCGGGAAAATTACCCTGGGCAAACACTCCAGCTGCAAAGAGTAACAGCGACAGTGGACGCGGCGAGATAAACATGATGTCGACGGTCTGAACAAAGATTCAGATGGCATCCGATCCAGATGTTTAGTAGTAGCTTGTAACTTATACGAGTCTAAATAGCCGTAGTGCTGACCCGTCAACAAGACAGGGTTAGTAACGACATCATACCACAACGTCTACACGTCATGCCCATGTCGACCAGGTAGTCGTGTGCTAGGTGCAGTTCCACTTTTGTGCGGCGTCCGGACCAGTATCATGGCCGAAGCCACTGTGGAATGCTTATTCTGGAGGGATGCGGTAGCCAAGCCTTGAGCCGAGCCGCGCGCGGAGCCCCACGCTTCCTTGACTGCCGAGTGAGGGGTTCCCGCTAGACGAGGTTTCTTGCTATTCTATTTGCTGTCTATTCTGCCTGAATGGTGCTCATCGTCCGAGGAGCGGAAGGCTGAGATTGCACAAGTGGCGTCGACGCTTATGCTTACACACTTACATGGACAACCAAGTCATGGACTTATTTGCGGAAACAAGAGGCTGGCGAACTCATCATTCAACAAGAAACAGTATGCGCGGACGACGGAGGGGGCGGAGATGAACGGGGCGTATGTTAATCTTAGTCTGGGGTAATGGCATTTGGTCACCAGCTACCACCCGGTCCGGTAGTCTGCCGTATTTCGACCGTTTGGTGGATAAAAAAGATCCGATCCGCATCCGTCGTCTCTGTGGCAGCTTTAGATTCATGGAGAGTGCGTACTATTGAATAAAAGTAAACTCTAAGACCCCCGTATGCAAGCATACGCTAGTTGTGTACACGGATCGTCCGGTAGCCATTCCTAACTCGACATGGTAAATCACGTTGCAGGCCGCAATCACGATGGCCAGTCGGATTTTTTCACCGTCATTGGCATGCCGTCGCGCGGTGAGGCTTCGAACACAAACTCCTGATATGCTCTGTCTCCAAAAGTCAAATCGAGGTTGTTCCATTCTGTCCTGGCCGTTTTGTTCGGCTTGAGATCTGCGCACCTAAAGTCAAACTCTCTCGCAGTCAGCAGGAAAACAAGCGTCAATTCATCCATTGCCAGTGTTTTGCCGATACAAGCACGAGGCCCCCGTTCGAACGGGCGCCATGCAGTCCGTGTATAGTCTTGGCGTATGAACCGCTCAGGCTCGAATTTGAGGGGATCTGCCAACAAGCTCATGTCAGCACCGTCGCCGCGTCTTCTAAGCAATCTACCATGTATGTTACTAACCTTTGAAATGATTTGGGTCCATGTGCATAGCTAGCTGAACAGGACAAACCATTTTCCCCTTAGATGGCCATTGCTGACCTTGATACGTCAGGCTATCCATGCCTTCGCGAGCAGTATTACCTATCGGATAGAATCTGAGAATCTCTTTGATGACGGCAATCGTATACACAAGGTCGTTCATTTTGTACGGCTTAGCCTTTACAAGATCGCATGTTGCATCGATGCCGGGAGCGAAGACACGGTCATGCTCTTCTCGCATCTTTTGAACTACTTCTGGATGCACACTCAGTAGCATATGTCCAAAGCAGACCGTATCTGATGTTGTGCCGCTGCCGGCGATGAGTAAAGTCTTGACCTGAGTAATAGCATTTGTTGAAAACTCAGGGTCGAGCTCGGCTGATGTATGCTCTGCAGTGTTTTGTAGGTAATCTCTCAGCATAAGGTCCATAATACAAAGCCCCCGTTTCTGGGACAGGTCAAGATCATTATCTGAGATGATGTTGGCATTAGCAACGTGGCTTTAATATACAGGACGGACCACCTACTCTTTACGAACTCAAATCTTTCTTTTATGAGTTCAGCCACCAACGAGTCTAGCTTGCGCCTTTCGCGATCTCGGACTATATTAACGAAAAAGTTGCTGATATAGTTGAAAGATTCTCTTGATTTCATCGAGGCCCGAACCATGGCTTCGAAATGCTGCAAAGCAAGACTTCCTTTTGTCTGAGTATCGAATGATCGTCCAGTCGCTGCTTTCGAAATAACATCAAATGTTAGATGATGAGCCAAATCTTCCAGCCGAAAAGACTGTCCTGATTTTGCTTTTTCTTGCAGAATGGTCCGATACTTCATGACTTCGGTGGCGACAATCGGTCTCATCTCGGTGATGTTCGTAATGGAGAATGCTGGACTCATCATCTTGTGTAGATGCTTCCAGTGTGGCCCCTCTGCGCTGGCAATATTGCCTTTTCCAAGTAGAGGGTCAGTCGTCTGTCTAACAGCTTCATGCTTAGGATGGTTCCGGGTGACGGTAAATTCCATCGCGACGTCGGGATCGACGACGACCAAGTGGCTCCATGAGACCGGCCATAAGTCGAGGTAGAAGACACCCGGCATGTTGTACTTCTTTGCAATGGTTGTGACTACGACCTGATAGTGCGCGTCACTCGGCAGCATGCCAAACGTTTCGCCAAACAGCTTCAGGTGACCAAAGAGGAAGCTGTGAGGTGGCTTAGGCTGTACATGATGTTAGTCAACATACATCCGCATCACATACATGATAACGATGTTTGACTAACGAGGTGTTTGTAGGAGCGGCGAACTTGAATCAGTCGCATAGCACCATATGCGAGCGCCGCGACGACGCTCGTAATGACTATCCTCGCCCATGAGAGGCCGCCCAGAGCCATTTCGAAAAATGAGTAGGCGTTGCTAACTGAGTAATAGGGAAGTAGAAGCAACGAAGTCGAGTAAGCGAATGTCATTCAACACTCCCATATCAATGATTCAGCATCTTGATCAGCAGGATCCATTACTTGGCGTGGCGCTACGTATACCTAGTTTAGCTAGAGTCGTAACTTTGTACCTAATCTCTCTAGTACTGTAATTTTATCCATTGTTACCATCCCCCTTCTAGCCCTCTCTTCCTTTTTTCCCTATTAATCTTATTCCTGTATTTCAACTTGTACTTCTGAAGATCAAAGTAGCAAAAGAGATGAGAGGGGAGTGGAGAGAACAGGAAGATAGTAAGACGGAAGGAGGTACCTAGGAAAGATGCGAGATCTTCCCTTTTTACTACCTTACTAATGTAATTTTATACAGAATTGGTTCAAGCCGACGCTTGGCAAGACACAATAATCTTTGCGAGATGAGTAGACTCGGTAAGCCCGTCTCTTGGGGAACCAAAATTCACGGATAATGCGGCAATGTAACCACTCAACAGTGTGACCCTTCAACAGTGTAATTCCCCGACAAAGTCTACACCACGCACTGCTTATCTACAATATCGAACCAATCAACATTAACGAAGGGTGCTTATTGAGATGTCTAATATTTAGACTCAGTTTGTAATCAGCGATTTCGGTTCCCCGAAAGCCCGTGCCACACTGACATGGCGCTAACTGGCTGGGCGAACTTTCGTGGAGCTGAAATGGTTGGACACCTTCAAAGAAGCGAAACTGCCTTTCATGCAATCGATTAAACTGGAAAACAATGACCTCTCTAAGTAGCCCCAAACTACCTCCGAATACTGCTGACTAGCACTCGGCTTGCGCGCCTGTAGCGCTAGTAAGTGTAAACTAATATTTGAAAACTTAACTAAGGTATCTCATCGTGAGCTATCTTTTCTTTAGCCGCCAGCTTCATCCCCTCATCCAGCAGCGACATCAACACCCTGTCTGTACCCTGCTTCATCCACGAAGCGTCGTGTGCGAGTGCTATGTGAGCCCCGTAATCAGTCTCTAATGCCCGTAGCTTAGCCATGGTATCTCTAGCAGATGTAATGTCTGTGTGGAGGGTCATGGGCTTTCGGTTGGGGCCTGGAAACTGGGCAATCTCTTGCACGCCGTCGAGTAATTCCCTAGTTCGTTAGCAGATCCCCAGCGCGCCTAGGTGTGACAAACCTCGAATGACAACCTGGACCCAAATGTTGTTAGTCAAAGCTAACGACTGTGCCTATGGAGCAACTTACAATCGCTCCCAAGAATGACCCATTCACCATTTTGCAATCTGGCAGCGGCAGCAAGATTGCCTGGCATGTGTCCTGGTGCATCCAAGATCCAAAAGCTGCCGTCTCCAAAGTAATCTAGAGCCTTTTCAAACGGTCCAAATTGTTTCCAATCGCCCTGTAGTTCTTCCCAAGTCTCGGTAGCGTGATCCGGGTCAAAGAAGCGCCCGTCCCACTGCAACTCGGGGTCTTTCCAATGACCCGGCTGGCATGCTAATTTTGTGCCTGGACCAAAGGACGCTTTGGCATTTGGAAACACATTGGAAATTGGTCGGCAATGGTCCCAATGAGCGTGACTGCTCGGTTTTTAGTCGATGTATGCTAAATGTCTCAATGATGACCTTGTACCTGAAAAGAATGGTATCAATATCTGTGGCTGCAATGCCTCGTTCAAACAATTGTTGCACAATGGTACGCTTTGGGCCAACATGGTTGATGTACTGCAGCATGTGCCTGTTCACCCAAGGCGTGTAGCAGCCCCGGTCCTATTACAAAATTAGTCAAGGACCCCAGATCCTAGTTTTCCTAGTACACTAACCTCATCTAAGCCCAAGTCCCAAAGTACGTGTCTTCCCTTGTGCGAAATATAAAATGCCCAATCGTACATGCGAAAAGTCCCGCTCCCACCAGCATGCATGCGGCTCAAATCAGCAATAAAGCTGCCGCCATCGAGTAGCGAGAGACTGACGAAAGCGTCCGTAGAGGGCAAATTGAACTTATCTCGTATCATGATGCACGTAAATCTTGATTGGCATGGTACAACAAACTAGACGACTCGTTTTTTATGACTATTCACATTCATCAGCGCAGAAGCACTGAGCCGCTCCAAATCACAGCCTATAAAGGCCATTCTAAGTACATGTCTGAAATGCATAGGTGGTACCTATCCTCGGCCTTCTACTTGCCGTGTGTGGATGTCGTATTCTGCCCCACTACGTAGTCGGGTGGTTAGTGGAGCGGGGTAGTCTGCTCTCATCCGGACTTCATTCCGCCTTCATCCGAACACGTGCCCCAACCGAGATACAGGCAGGTACCGAGGCCTTCCCATCTAACAACTGCAGAAATTACATCTGAATCACACTCCCCACGACCTCTTTTTGTGTCCTTGTGATAATCAACATGTCAGCTATTCTCAAGCATCCAGCGCTTGGGGAAATCAAGGGAAACCAAAGAGATGGAGTCGCACAATTCTTAGGTCTCAAATATGCTTCGATTAAAGACCGCTTTGCTCCACCAGAGTTGGCGGATAATTATGGGTCGGGAAACACAGATGCCACCAAGTTTGGGTATGTGCCACATGCTTTTTTACTACCCATCGGCGGCTAAATCAACATAGGCCTCCTCCAGTCGCGCCAGCTGGCGTCATTCATGCCGAATTTGGCTTTATTCAGCAGTCATTACCGTTACCAGAGATTCCGGCACAGTCAGATCTTGAAGGTCTGAATCTTAACATTACTGTACCTACGGACAAAAGTGGTTCCATTGACTCAAATGCAAAGTTGCCAGTCTACGTTTTCATACATGGAGGTGGATTTGCAGTTGGAAGTGGCTGGTATCCACACTATGACCCGGCTGCTATTGTGAAAATGTCCGCTAAGATGAAAAAACCTATAATTGGTATTACTATCAAGTAGGTCTGGCAAATAGTAGTACACCGACTCCATGCTAAACCAAACAGTTACCGATTGGGTGTTGCCGGATTTATGACATCAGCTGAACTACGAAAAGCCGGGTATAAAGCAAACAACGGCCTTCATGACCAACGTACTGCATTGCGGTGGATTAAGAAATTCATAGGTGGCTTTGGTGGCGACCCCAATCATATCACAGCGTGCGGAGAAAGTGCTGGAGCCGGTACGTTCAATAACCAGTGGCCTTGAAAGCATGACTGACTCTCACAGCTTCTGTGATATACCTACTGGGCTCGAAAGAGCCGTTGATGAAGCAAGGTCTTAGTACAGGGGGAACACCACTCCTCGTTTTACCCCTCCCAGAATCCGTGGCAGAGTCTGCCTACCAAAATGTCATTGAAGCATTTGGACTCGCAGGACTGTCTTCAGAAGATCGTATAAAGGCTCTCTTGGCCTTGCCAATCGAAGATCTTTGGCAAAAGGCACCACCATCAGCGCCTATGATGCCTTGCGTCGACAATGATACAGTACCTGGCATACCTGATTTCGCGACCGTTTCATCTCAAGAAGACAAACCTAATTTCCTGCTGCCTGGCCGAAAATGGTGCAAAGCCTTGATGCTAGGGGATTCCAAGCTCGATGTAAGCTCATGTGGAAGACGCAAAGCAGCAAAAGCTAACAATATCTAGGGCAACATTTTCGCATTCATGACGCTAGATGCCCGTAAGCCTGGCATTGCCCAAGCATTCATCCACTCTTGCAATAAAACATTGTCCACCCATCCAGAAGTAGCTACAGAATTACTCGCGGCATACAAAATCGATGCCTCCACTTCAGATGACGAGGCAATCCTCGCCATCGTACGCTTCGCGTCTGAAATTTGCTTTTACGCGGCCTCACGTGCATTTGCCCAGGGTTGGCCAAATACACCCGAATCGAAACTCTTCCTTTATCACTTCAACGAGGGTATACCTTGGGAAGGTCGGTTCAAAGGCGAAGCTGCCCATATTCTCGACGTAGCGTATTTATTCCAAAATTTCAACGAACATTTGGACGATACGCAACTCAAGGTAGCCAAGGAATATGGAGAAGACTTTATCAAATTTGTCAATGGCAATGATCCGTGGCCACCTGTACAGAAAGACAGGCTGTCCGCAAAGGTATACGGGCCAAGTGCCGACGGTGTGACAAGTAGGTGGGTGCCGGATGGCGCACCCGCAAAGATTGGGCGAGATGAACATGTGTTGAAAGTTGCGGAGAAAGTTGGCTTCGACGCAATACTCAAAGTCTTTTATGACTATTTCCAAGGGTAGTAGCTATACAGGGAACCTGACATCGCATTGAACGAGCAGCGAGTGGAACTAGACCAGGCGACAATGTACAATAATCATAAACATCAAAAAGAATCACCATAAAACTTTGAGAAAGAATTCCTGTTCCAGCACTGCCTACTTATCCCCTCCCTCCACCCACTCCAACGACGCATACGCCGGCGCAGGCACATCCTCACTAATATCCCCCCAAGCCGACCAATGCGTCCCAACCAACTTCCTCTGCTCCACCTCATCCGCAATCGCAATCGCCATATCCCCCACACTAATCCCCGTCAAGCGCGCCTCAAAAATATCCTTGCCCTCCTGCTGCTCCCCCAAAAGCACCATATCATCCACACTAATCTCGTACTTGCCCGTGCGCTTCCCTGGCCGATACAACGCAGGCGGCGAAACAAAACTCCAGTGAAAATCCGTCCTTCCGTCAAAAAACATAAAGGCCGTACGCCCTGCTCTGATAAAGTCGCTCGCATCGTCTTTGCTCCGGATCTGGCGCTCGTATTCCGCAATAACGGCCAAATCTTCTTCTGAAGGCGGCGAGGCGAGACGCGCGGTGCGGTACCGTCGTAGCGCCGTGCCCATGATGCCGAGGCGCTCTTCCATGTACGCGATGTGAGCGAGGGATGTGGAGATTGCACGGCGGTATGCGAGGAAGAAATCTGGGTGGTCGACGCAGGGGAGTGAGGTGCCGGGGACGTGGAGGGAGCCTGCGCCGCCGACGAAGAGGAAGTAGGATGTTGGGTTTAGTTTGTGGGCGAGGATAATTTTGCGGACGGATTCTAGGAAGGGCACTGGAGGAAGTTTGTCAATGTTTTTCTTCGTTTCTGTACTTGTGGGGGTTTCTTTTGCACGTGAATAGTTTGACATAGAGGTATATGAGTGCAAGAGAATGGAGGACGAAAGTAGAGAAAACGTACTGTATAGCAATGCCCCTGCTCCTGCTGTATGAGGCCCAAACTCACATACGAGCGCGTCAGCATCTTTGAATTTTTCAGCTATCTCTTCAATCGATGCTGTGTCTATATCCACAGATCGGGGGATGTAGCGCTCGTGTTTTCCAAGTTTTGCTGGGTTGCGCGATATCCCGATTACAGTGTGACCTCGATTTAGTAGTTCAACAGAGAGATACGAGCCACCGAAACCTGCTGGGCCAATCACAGCAACTTTGAGGGGAGAAGGAGGCATAGCTCGGTGAATGGAACTGTTGATTCAGGTTTCTTTGGAGAAGATCGGGACTGGCGAATTTAAACTGTACTACGTAAAAGAGGATTCTGTGGTTATTATTCCTGCAGTCCTGCTCTCCGTGGTTGTTACACAAATACGTAGCCTTCCTCAAGCAGGATTACACAATTTACAACAGCCGATGTAGTATGGGGCCAAGGCTGGTGTGTTGGGGATGCCGCGTTGGGGAAGAGAGGGGTACATGTGGGGCAGGTTAGACTGGGGTACAGTCTAAACACAACTAGGGTGCATGTAGACATCTACTACCGATTATGGTTTCAAAACTTATTGTTTGAAGAAACGTCATTTTCATAAACAACAATATCATATGACAGGTGAAATTATTGGTGGAAACAAAAAAATAAACAATTTTGGACATTATGGCAGAAGATTATGCATTCATCGGTATTCTCACCAAAACCAGCAAACATGCATGTGTATAGGAAGAACATCTACTGACGATTATGGAATAGGTCTGGGTGCAATGGGCTATGCAATGGCATCCAACATACGCCTCAAAATGCCTGCAACCTCCACTCTCTACATCAACGACATCAACACCGCATCCTGCACACGCTTCAAGTCCGAATACTCCAGCCACGGTCCCATAGAAATCAGTGCTTCAGCACGAGAAGCCGCCGAAAAAGCCAAATACCTCATCTCCATCGTACCCGACGGTGCAGACGTGAAAAAAGTATACCTGGACCCCGAAACCGGCGTCATCGCCGCGCGTAAAGATGAGGAAAGAATAATGCTCGAATGCAGCACCATCGACGTGCAAACCACAAAAGAAGTCGGCACCGCACTCCATCACGCAGGCCTAGGAACATACATCGACGCCCCCGTATCCGGTGGCGTCCCCGCCGCCCAAGCAGGCACTCTCACCCTCATAGTCGGCCACGCACCTCCCTCCTCCGCGGCCTCCAACCCGGACCTATCCACCCGCCTCACCCAAATTCTCTCCATGCTGGGCCCTGCCTCGAAATGCTTCTACATGCACACCCTGGGCGCAGGCCTAACCGCCAAAATCGCAAACAACTACCTCTCAGGCACCATCCTCGTCGCCACCGCCGAAGCCCTGGCGCTAGGCATATCGCACGGCCTCGACCCGGCCGCCCTGTACTCCGTCATCAAATCTAGCACGGGCCAGTCGTGGATGTGCGATCACGTCATGCCGGTGCCGAACGTGCAGACAGACTACTGGGTCCCGAGCAACAGCGGGTATAAACCGGGGTTTAAGACGCAGATGATGATTAAGGATCTGGGGCTGGGCGTGCAGAGTGCGAGGCAGGTGGGGACGGGGTGTAGTATGGCGGAGAAGGCGTTGGAGGTTTGGGAGGGGGCGGCACAGGATCAGCGGTGTAGGGATAGGGATGGGAGTAGTGTTTATTTGTTTGTTGGGGGGAAGTTGCCCGAGGGACATGAGGATAAGGGGAGGAGGAGGGAGGATGGGACGTGGGAATTTGTGGAGTAGAATTTTTGTGAGAGAGGCATGGCGAGGGCTTGGAAACGAGTCAGTATGTGTTTAACGGGCCGAAGAGATCGTATAGCTTGATGTGGGAAGTAGATGAATTTTTCGGAGAAGAAAAGGGGAAAGGGTTTTTTGGTTGATACCATGACTCATTGATTGGCCGAGCTATCTGTATTACTTATGAGACGTGTGATATCTTCCTCTGACGCTCCAGATAAAGCTAAATTTGTCTAATTCTGCCCATAACTCTGAACATTAATCCAACAGTAGATCTCAATCGCCGCCGCAGTAGGCTGTTCCTTCGCCGATGTTGGGTTCGCAACCATGCCAAGAATTACAAGTTGTCTAACGTGGAGTTAGAAAAATAGAAGCAAAAAGGTATAGTTGATACTTACCAAGCATCTGTACGTGACGAGGCCACCATTGCCGCATATCTGCCTAACAGGGTCGCAGAGCTAGAAAGCTGGTATTAGAAATTTATGCGAGTATGTTAGGAGACGATCAACTTACAAAGTATACGGGGGGCGTGGTCTTTATAGACTCTTCCGCATCTCCAGCCTGTACTCGTGCTGGCTCTGGTATTGACACTGGTGTTCCTACACGCTTTACACGCTTCTCAAAGCCTTCACTGGCGCTTATCGTCCCAACAGCAGCTAGGAGAAGCAAAATCTTGTTCAGGTCGATGATCATTTTCGGAAGACTGACGCCTCGTTTTCTGGAATGCGAGATATGTATGGGAGTATAATGTGCTAGTACCTGGAGGCAGTAGTAGCAGAACAGCTTCACTTAAAGCATGGCACAGCGAGTGTCGTCGTCAGTCTTAAATAACCATTCAAAGCCTTCCTCAAATATAGAACTGAGTCATTTTCAAGTGTCTTAATAAGCACTAGGTCTCAGATCTCGACAAGAAAAAGATGATCACGGTGTCACCATAGTAAGCGCCGAAAGATTGACAATGTGTTTAGCTAGACCAGTCTGCTCTAGTACGGCCATATTGGCTGACTTAGATCGTGATCTTCGTATGGCGACGTACTATGTAGAATATACTCTTTGTATTGCGTCATTACAAAGTCTTGAGACCGGACGCTCGGAGCACAATTCGTTTAGGGAGTGGGTGTAAGAATTTAGGTTTCTAGGTGGATATTGTCAAGTGTCATTAGCTATGCAGGCAGGAAGTGCAGCAAGTGACTATCCGGGAAGACATTGATAACTGGTTACGTGCTTAGAAACGAGGGGTCTTTTAAATATAGGTAAAGAGATTTTGTAAAAGAGAGCTTTGTTGTTCCCTCACATTGACGCAAGACGAACATGCTACTACCCAGTACACGTAATACACTTGGACGTCCATGGATTCACGGCCGATCACTCAAGGCTTTTGTCTCCACCGACATACGTAATACCCCGGCTTGGACATCATCTCATCCATTCAAGAGTCTTTTTGTGGCATGCAATCATATCCCAAAAAAAGATAATGCATGAATTCATCGCTATCAAACAAAACAACCCAAGCTCTAAGATTTTTCCACCATAAAACATGAAACCATCACACCACCATCTCCTTCAACGCCTCACTAACTTTGAACGGTGCCTCAGTCTTACTCCGAATCTCATCAACCGTCACGCCTTTCGCATGCTCAATCAACGTCAGCCCCTCGACGCGATCGCACTCAAACACCGCCAAGTCCGTAATAATCGTGCTGACGCATTTTTGACCTGTGAGCGGGAATGTGCATTGCTTGAGGATCTTGGGGTTGCCCTTCTTGTCGACGTGTTCCATGGTGATGACGACTTTGGTTTGCGTGGGGTTGGCGACAAGGTCCATGGCGCCGCCGATGCCTTTGACTTTGCCGGGGAGCATGAAGTTTGCTAGGTCTGTGGATTTAGGAGTCAGAGAGATGTTTGATGGGTTGTTAGGATGGGGGAAGAGACGTACCTCCGTATTGGTTTACTTGCATGGCGCCGAGCATGGCGACGTCTATCCGTCCTGAGCGGATCATGCCGAATGACTCGTGGCTTCCGAATGTTGATGCGCCTTTGATGAGTGTGACTGTTTCTTTGCCTGCGTTGATCAAGTCTGGGTCCTGTTTTTGTCTAAGTTTGTCTCTCTTGTGTAAAACAATATGTCATGAGCGTACCTCCTCTCCTGGTTTGGGATACCTTCCCATACCGAGGATTCCGTTCTCAGATTCGAGTATAATTTCAGTGCCCTCAGGTAGGAAAGCAGGTGCTGCGAGCGGCATGCCAATACCAAGGTTAACGTACATGCCATCCTTGAGCTCTTGTGCCGCACGCTTGATGATACGCTCACGCTTTTGTGATGCTTCGGATGATCCTGATACACGGTCAGTTCCGAAGTTTCAGTGCCAGGAACTTCACCTCAGACGTACCGCCTTCCAAAAGTGCCTTCTTCTGCTCTTCAGGACTCTTCCAGAATACCTTTCTCTCAATCTCTTTACCTACTGTGCTCTTAATTACCCTCTTGACATAGATTCCCTGGAGATGGATATCCTCAGGTGCAATCTCGCCATCTTCAACAATCTCATCTGCTTCCACAATAGTCATCTTTGCATTCTTGCCCATTGCTTCGTTGAAGTTGTTTTGTGCTTTGCGGAACTGGCAGTTACCGAGACGGTCGGCTTTGGCAACTTTGACGAATGCATAGTCTCCAAAAATAGCCTCCTCCATTACATACGACTTTCCGTTGAATTCACGTGTTTCCTTTGGTGGTGCCATTTTTGCGATCGTTCCATCGGTGTTGTAGCGGACTGGCAGTTCACCAGTTTGTACTACATGATATTAGTCAACATTGTTCGATACCAGTCCTCTACAACGCGTACCTATTGTTCCATATGCAGCCGGTGTGTAGAAAGCTGGTACACCAGCAGCACCTGCAGCGCATTTCTCTGCGATAGTGCCCTGAGGGGTCAACTGCAGACTTAATTCTCCCTTCAAGTACATTTGCTCAAACACCTTGTTGTCTCCAATATAACTCGCAATCATGGTACCAATCTGCTTGGTCTCCAAAAGCTGTCCCAGTCCAACGCCAGGCATACCTGCATTGTTGCTGACAACTGTGAAGTTTGTGAGGTCGGATCGATCGCGCAAAGCGTTAATGAGGGTGTTCGGCACGCCAGAAAAGCCAAAGCCACCAACCAGCAGTGTGGAGTCAGACTTCATGTCCTTGATGGCTTCTTGTGCGGAAGAGACTATCTTGTTGATTGCCGGTCGGGATGCGCTGGCGGAGAAGAAGCGCATGCCCGTCGCCGGGCCACGGCGGCGCGCCGAAAAGAGCAGAGATCTTTGCATTGCGGAAGGCTTTTGTCGTTGTACAGTAAGAAATGAATTAATGTTGGTATCAGGGTGCTCAATCCGACCAATATTTGTTCAGGTTTTGTCGACTTGCTGGAGATGTGGAGGATTTACTGGACTTCAGCACAAGGGTATCTACGTACGTCACAGCGACAGGCTCCAATGTCCTTCACAGTCGTCAACGTTCACAGATAATGTAGAAATGGTGGTAGTGAGAAATCTGGTGCGGAGATGACACTCCCCACACGAACAGCACGAGGCTATGCATCATTGTTACTAGCGAGTTGGGGCAGACCGACACAAATGCCGCGCCGATGGCGGGTGAGAATGTCTCCACAATCGGAGGCAGCGGAAAAGAGCTTAACCGAGGGCATTGCGGAGGTTGCGGGCAAAACGCACGTTGATTGGCCACACGACGTAGCGGAAAAAGCCATGGGGCTCGGGCATGGAAAAGGTTTCCACCGCTTGCATGGAAAATGTTTCCGCTATCCAAATGGAGTATATTTGCCTCATATACAAGTGGTACCTCGGTCTTGTGCAACTACTAGTTTGATTTATCGAACAAGCTACGATTCAGATACAGCTACTGTGGTGTTTTGCCTTGCTTCTAGCGTATATTTCAATAGAGGCCACGCACAATTTGCTTCACTGTAGAAAATGTTAGCTTTTGGACGTGAGACTGTTGGTCAAATGACTCACAACTAGCAAAATCTTTGTGTTCTTTACTGTGCAGTGCGCGCAATGCGATAGCTTCTTCTTCAGCTTCGCCCGTTGGCACATTGTACTATGGACATGTCAATAATTGCAGCTCAAACGGACTTAAGCAACTCACAGCTGTCAATGTGGTCTTGTGTCCTAGCTCTTCAACTAGGCCAGCAATGGCATCAGCGACGACGTGCGAATCCTTTTCGTCGCTACCGGTACTTTGTTTGCCAATGTAAGGGATGATCCTGGCAATCTGATTTGCTTCTTCTGGGTTACTAGCTTTGTAGTGTACTGTGGGAGCTAGACTGAGACAACTGGTGATGCCGTGCGGAATGCTATATGTTGCACCGATTGCATGGCCGATGCTGTGGCTGAGTCCAACGCCACCAGTGTAGAGGAAAGGGAAAAGTGACGAATAGCATGCAATGAAAAGCTTTGTGCGAACTTCAGCATCGTCGGGGTTGGCCTTTGACTTGGGCAAGTAGGTGAAAAGATCCTTGATGGCCTCCAGAGCCATGCGCTTCGTCGGTATTTCAGCTGCAAGCGGGTGGTACATGAGCTCTACTGCATGATCCAAAGAGCGAATCTGCGTCAAGTCAGTCAATAATCAAGAACAAGTTATTTATAGTGTGTGTGTGCTTCATACCCCTGTACTAGTCCAGAGATTCAGAGGTGTATGCAAGGCAATGTCTCCGTCATAAACCACGGCTAATGATAGTTAGAAAGTGCTCATAAATCTTTTGATATGTTACTACGCACCCTTGGGTACTAGCTCTGGGTGGCTGACTGCAATCTTGTGCTTTTCCTCGGTAGTGAAACCAGCATTTTGTGTAGTCTCAGCCACACTGAGCGTTGTTGGTACGGCAATGCTCGGTATCCATTTACCAGTCTCTTGGTGGATGTAATATGCAATGGCTTTTGCCGAATCGATGGGTGATCCACCTCCTATGGATACAAGCACATCGCAACCTGACTTTGCCATCAAGGATGTCGCTTCCTTGATGTCCTGGATGGGCCTAGATGAAATTAGTCTCCAGTGAGATGGAGAGACTGTAAGCTACTTACGCATGCTGACCAATCTTGCTGAAGGTGCCGCCATGAGCTGCTCCCAGAGTCTGCTCGATGTTTTTAATCACTGGTGTCTTCTCGTACAACGATCGGCCTGTGATGATGAAGGCTTTTGTCGCACCGAGCTCTTTAATGACGTCTACAAGCTGGTTGCTTGTTCCTAACATGAGCAATTAGCTCTGTCGAGAAAATCGAGGGAATGTACTCACCATTGCCATATATCATGAGCTTGATGGGCGATGCTCTGTACACTCCCTTGGTAGAGGAGTCGATGCTGCCATTCTGGTACTTGTTCGGAAGAGCCATGCTGTAGTGTCGCTTTTGTCTTAGTATGCGGGCAGAGATGGTGAAGGTGAATTGTTGCGTCTTCATGCAGGCTAGATCCGGTAAACATTAGTGTCATGCTGCACCATTCGTCATCGAGGGATTTCCGGCGTCGCCCCACACAGACGATAGCCCCGCCACAGCGACTACTACCGCGACCACATGCGGTAGTCCCTGCACCGCGTTTGACTATGCATTACATATGTAGAGCACCACTTTGATCGTAGCGGACCATGGAATCTTGGGGTCTTCGCAAAAATGGCAAGTTTTAGCAGGGCGGCGCGAAACATTCTGCAGAAGAACCCAAATGATGTTGTCCTGCTTTCTGCGGTCAGGTCACCAATCAATCGGAGTTTCAAGGGCGGATTCAAAGATGCACATCCAGAGGATATTCTAATGCCGGTGGGTTTCATTGTTCACAAATCTTGGGCAGTCACTAAACCTTTGCAGGTCATGCAGGCTGCTGTACAGCGAGCGGGAATAGAAAAGGGCGACGTCAACGACGTCTTGATAGGAAATGTTCTCGCTGAACTTGGTTTCGCAAAGACTGGGCGAATGGCGCTCAACCATGCTGGCTTCCCGAATTCAACCACGTTCCACACGGTCAACCGTCAATGCTCTAGTAGTTTGCAAGCCATAACTCACATAGCACATTCGATCATGGTGGGTCAAGTGGACGTGGGGCTTGCTGGAGGCGTGGAAAGCATGTCGAGAAACTATAGCTCGCGGGGCATTCCAACGGACGTTTCGCCCACTCTTGTCGAGTCAAACGTCAAGGATGCCCGCGATTGCCTCATGCCAATGGGCATCACATCGGAAAATGTGGCAGAGAGATACGGTGTTGATCGCAAGTCACAAGACGAGTATGCGGTACGAAGCCACGGTCGCGCAAGTCGTGCACAAAAAGAAGGCCGTTTCGATTGGGAAACTGTGCCTGTCAAGGTGCGACGAATCGACGAAGCGAGCGGACAGCCGGCGGAATTTGAGGTCACCAAAGATGACGGTATCCGACACGGTCTGACATTTGAGAAAGTTTCGACGCTCAAGCCTGTATTTGGCGAGAACGGCAAGAGCACTGCAGGCAACTCGTAAGGCATCCCTTCAACTTGCACTCGCAAAGCTGACAATGTAGCTCTCAAATCTCGGACGGAGCGTCTTCTACGATCCTTGCTCGACGTTCATGGGCAGAAGCTCGTGGACTTCAACCACTAGGCCGCTTTGTAGGCACACAGATCAAGGGATGTGCACCGGATGAGATGGGCATCAGCCCCATCTTCGCCATCCCAGCGTTGCTGAAATGGACAGGTGTAGAGCTCAAGGATGTGGACATTATCGAACTGAACGAGGCGTTTGCGAGTCAGACGATTGCATGCATACGGAAACTGGGGCTGGACGAAGAAAAAGTCAATCCAAATGGTGGGGCTATAGCGCTGGGGCATCCCACTGGAGCCACGGGTGCACGTCAGACAGCAACGTTGTTCGGGGAGCTGCGGCGTCAGGACAAGGAGATTGGCATTGTGAGCATGTGCGCCAGCACTGGCCTAGGCGTGGCATCGCTGTTTGTGCGAGAGTCGTAGCATCGTAGATGAAGCTTTAGTTGGTAATCAAGCGCGACCGGCGATGGTGATGGTCGTGGTGATGGTAACGACAATGACGGTAGAGCTCAGCTCAACGCGTGCATGTGGGTTTGAAAAAAAGGTCACGTGCACAGTGCCACTACACAGTACGTACCCTCTTGCGCCACCGCCAAGCACAGGACCCGCCCGCACCGCCATTTCTACACATCCGCATGGACTCCGCTCTTGTCTTCCCCACACTGAGGCTGCATCTCCTGTCCCACACGCCCGGCTTCCACCTTCCGCCGCCTACAGCAAGGAGCCGCCATGTTGTGTCTGCCGCAGCGGGCCTTTTTGAAAGGTTTATCTCCTTTCAAGGCCCATTGACTCTTGCCCCATCGCAAAGCTCTTGATCATGTTCTTGCTTCGACGCGCCCCACTACGTGCACTTCCACGGCTGAACACTATTCGTCCTCAGCGGCGATTGCTCGGCAGCGTCAGCGCAATTGATTCCGTCATCTTTCGCACCCTCTTTGGCACGGATGAGATTCGAAAAGTGTTCGACGACAAGGCATACATTGACCGATGCGTCGACGCTGAGACGGCCCTGGCCAGGGCACAATCGAAATGCAACGTCATCCCCTCCCACATTGGAGAAGTCGTGACATCAAAAGCCAGGGAGGCACAGTTGGACTACGACAAGCTACGTCGTGAGACTGAGATTGTCGGATATCCCATCTTCCCCTTGGTACGCCAGCTGTCTGCATCCTGCGGTGATGAGGCCGGCCGTTACGTGCATTGGGGCGCCACCACACAGGATATCATGGATTTGGCAAGCATTCTGCAGATGAAGCAAGGCCTCCAGATTGTCGAACGCACACTGCGGTCTGTCATCAAGAATCTTGAGCATCTCTCGAAAAAGCATCGAGATACACCCATGGCCGGTCGCACTCACTTGCAACATGCTCTTCCTATCACTTTTGGCCACAAGTGCGCCATTTGGCTTTCTGGATTTCAAAGACACCTTGAACGCTTGGAACAGCTCAGGGACCGCGCACTAATGGTGCAATTCGGAGGGGCTGCCGGCTCCTTGGCTTCACTCGGCTCAGGCGACGACGGCATTCGGGTTCGAAAGGAGATGGCAAAAGACCTGGGGCTTACAGATCCTCCCATTACTTGGCATGTTGCACGAGACGGCGTTGCTGAGATCACCAATTATCTTGCACTTGTTGGCGGATCTCTAGGAAAATTGGCCCTGGACATTATCATCATGTCATCAAACGAGCTCTCCGAGGTGTCAGAGCCGTTTGTACCACACCGAGGCGCCTCGTCTACTATGCCGCAAAAGAGAAACCCCATTTCAAGCGAGGTCATTCTGGCGGCATCAAAGATTTTGCGGTCAAATGCAGGTTTGGTGCTTGATGGCATGGTGTCAGATTTCGAGCGCGCTTCCGGTCCATGGCATCTGGAATGGGTGGCTGTCCCAGAGAGTTTTGTCATTGCGGTTGGTGCACTCAATCAGGCCGACTTTGCACTCTCTGGGCTAGTCGTGAATCCCAAGCAAATGCTCACAAATCTGTATTCGACCAGAGGCCTTATCGTGGCCGAGGCTGTCATGATGGGTCTCGCGCCACATGTTGGTCGCTCAAAAGCTCACGATATCGTCTACGAGGCATGCAAGGAGAGTATAGAGCGTGATACCAGCTTGTTGGAAGCTCTGCAGACACGGTCTGAGATAACGGACAAGATCTCTACTGAGGAGTTGAGCTCGTTATGTGATGCCAAGAACTATCTGGGCTCGTGCGGACTTATGGTAGATGAAGTCTTAGCTGCATCGAAATAGTATACCAAATGCTTGTTGCTGTAAATTAGCCACCCAGTTTGCTGACCGTTGACTTGTAAATTTACCATGGCACATCTGAGTAAGCACTAGATTTCTCTCCCACTTCGAGAAGGCACCCCGCAGACGAAGAGCGACAAGGCCCACGATGTGGTTCCATCTCCCAAGCAACAGGTAAGACACTCTGACCTCACGAGTCCCACTAACCCGGTCCCAGTCATCCTTCACTCATTGTGGGTCTCTTGCAGCTCCTAGAAACCATATACCGAAGTCCTAACCCCGCTATCATGCGCATTGGGCCCCGCCACCACATCATGCACAGACCGATCACCTAGTGGCGGCAGATGTCGGCATACAGTTCCACAACGAGGAGAAGTTCAATATAAGGCTGATTTTTTCGACACTGTAAGTTTTGGCATTTTCATTCAAACATTCAAACATTCGAACATTGAACACGATGCAGGACTTCAAAGAACGCAAACTTGTGACAGACCCACAGAAGGTTTTCCACTATACCGATCTCCAGAGGCTAAAGCCAACACGAGCCAATGATCCATACGACTACCAAGCAGGATGGGGAAATCGACACCAATCTGAAGTGATTCCAGGCACACTTCCAGTGGCACAGAACAACCCTCAAGAAGTCCGGTTTGGCCTCTATACTGAAGGCATTACATACTCGGCATTTGCGGCTCCCCGCGCACACAACTACAGTACTTATATGTACCGCTGCCGACCAGCGGCTGCTCACCGTATGTATTGTGTTCAGTATGATGAGGTCATGACTAAATCTCAATAGAGGGATACATTCCATTTGAGTCCAAGTCCAACATCACCAACTGTTTTCTGTCCATCAACCCAAAAGTAGAAACTCTTCCTGAGCAAGCCGAATGGAGGCCGTTTCCGTTGCCTAAAGATGACGAGAAGATTGACTTTGCCGACGGTCTGCACACACTTGCTGGCAGTGGCGATCCAAACATCAGAGAGGGTATTGCCCTCTATGTCTACATGATCAACTCCAGCATGGACCGACGAGCATTCTGCAACACTGATGGCGACTTCCTCATCTGTGCCCAACAAGGCAATCTCGACATCAAGACTGAGATGGGCAAGATCTTCCTGCAGCCAGGAGAAATTTGTGTGATTCAACGCGGTATCAGATTCTGTCTCAACCTCGCTCCGGATACTCCGGTAGCCCGTGGGTACATCACAGAAGTGTGGGGCTCGATGTGGGAGCTTCCAGATCTCGGTCCTCTGGGTGGCCACGGACTAGCCAATCCTCGCGACTTCCTCTACCCGGTGGCTGCCATTGACGACGAACTACATGAGAATTGGCAAATCGTAAACAAGACCAACGGCCAGCTCGTAGCCATCCAGCAAGATCACAGCCCCTTCGATCTCGTAGCATGGCACGGCAACGTCGTCCCTTACAAGTACGACCTGACCAAGTTCTCCTCGCAAAACAGCACATCAATCGACCACACCGACCCATCCATCTTCACCGTCCTGACAGCCAAATCCCGCGACCCCCTAACACCACTCTGCGACTTCCTCTGGTTCGGGCCCCGCTGGGACGTAGCAACAAACACCTTCCGCCTCCCCTACTTTCACCGCAACTCAGCCTCCGAGTTCCTCGCCTGCATATACGGCAAGGGCCTCGGCCGCAGCGACGACTTCCAGCCCGGCGGTGGTAGCTTCGAAGGGAGCCACACGCCGCATGGCGGCTTCCACGAGGGCTACCAGCACGGCATGCGTATCCACGAGAGCGTGCCGGAAAAGATATTGACCGGTAAATGAAACCCCCGCATTTCCCACAACAGAAAAGCGAAAGTTTTGTGTGGATTGCTAATCGAAAGGAAAAAAAAATAGATCAACTCACCATTATGATTGAATCCAGTCGTCTCTTCCTTTGGACTGAGTACGCAAGAAAGAGTTGTGGCGTTATCGAAACGCATGGTACAAACTATAAAGTCTGGGATAATCTGCCTGTACGTGTTTTTCCCCTCTCCCCCCTCTCCCTCCTCATTTCTCGCTTTCTTGCGTTTGGTATGCTAAGTAGATGGCAGGACCGCTTCTCATCCAACAAGCGCGCACAAGACCTCCTCGCTCGCATCAAGCAAGACAAGGTGGCTGAGAAACAGCGGCTTGCGCCGTATTACTTTGGGGGGTTCTCGCATGGTGCTAATACGAGAGATGATGATGGGGTGCATAGGGAGGAGTTTGAGGAGTATTTGGGTGTGGGCAAGGCGAAGGGCCTGAATGGGATTAATGGGGTAAAAGCTTAGCTCCACTCTTTCTCTTCTTCCTACTATTCTTTTATTTATTTTTTCTGGTAATCAGTATGACGGGATATTTAAAGCGTGGTTTAAAGACACATTAGCAATCTGGGAGGATATCTTTCAAAAAAAAAAAAGAATCCGGTAGTTTTGGACCTTGGTGGTGTTTTTTTTTCTCCCTAAAATCACTTCGGCATTGCAAGCGTGGATGCTAGAAATTGATTAAACACTCACGTTCACCACCACTTTTCCCACAATGTTTTTTTTTACTTTTACGTTTGCCGTTATATGACCCCGTTAGCCAACACCAACGAATCAAGAAAAAAAGGAAAATACGTCTGTGCCTCCCGTTACCATCCGCCCTTTCCCATCTCCCTCTCTTCCTTCCTTCCTTCCCCGTGACCCCACAAACAGTGTATGTGTGTGTTGCGTGCCGGTATGTGGGGCGATTTTTTTTCCAATTGTACAACATCCTATACCTCGGGCCTATTTTTCTTACAACATTCATCCATCCATACTCAACTAGTACTTTTCTTGTCTTATTTTTTTGTGGTCGCCTCAATTTTTTTTCAATCGTTGTTTTGTTCAACTAGCAATCAACACTTTTACGACGAAAAAAAAGAAATCATGTTTTCTCTTGCAAGATGCAGCAGGCGACTACCACCGTACTTGCAATGTTTAGTTCAGCATCGAACGCCGGCGGCACGAGTGTGGGCGCAGAAGAAGAGGGGGATAGCGAGCCAGGCGGATAGTAGTCGTAGGGCGGTGGAGAAGTTGCCATTGGCTGGAGTCAAGGTGTTGGATATGACGAGGGTGCTTGCAGGGGTACGTTTAGGGTAATAGTAGTTTGGTTCGTATAGGCATTCTTACTAACCATATTCTTTTTTCTGTGCATATAGCCGTATTGTACGCAGATTCTTGGGGATTTGGGGTAAGTCTTTCCTATTTTGGACATACGGGGAAAAGAGTGGGGAGGTTGGAGTTGACTTACTGGACGTTTTTTTTGTTGACGAGGGCGTTGCAGAGCAGATGTTATCAAGATTGAGCATCCGACTAGAGGGGATGATACGAGATCTTGGGGACCGCCCAATGCACCATATGTTGATGGTGTGGAACGACAATTTCCGGGAGAGAGTGCATATTATCTTTCTGTAAGTCTTGCTTCCCATACTTACTCATCTCTTAATGTCCAGTTCCGAATTTACTAACCACATTGTTCTTTTTACTTCGACATAGGTAAACCGCAACAAGAAATCCGTCGGCCTCGCCTTCAACAACCCCACCGGGACATCCATCTTGCACAAACTAGTCCAGCAATGCGACGTGCTGGTGGAAAACTATCTTCCTGGATCACTTGCAAAATACAAACTCGACTATGCTACCCTCTCGGCACTCAACCCTTCGCTCATCTACGCGTCGGTGACGGGCTACGGGCAAACTGGGCCGTATCGCGACCGCGCAGGCTACGATGTCATGGTGGAAGCGGAAATGGGGCTCATGCACATTACGGGCGAACGGGATGGACCGCCCGTCAAGGTTGGGGTTGCGGTTACGGACATCATGACGGGCATGTACACAGCGATTGGGATTCAGGCGGCACTGTATGCGCGTAAGAGTACGGGGTTGGGACAGTGGATTGATGCAAGTTTAAGTGATGTGCAGGTTTCTGGACTGGCGAATATTGCGAGTAGTGCATTGGTTACGGGCAAGGGTGATAGTGGGAGATGGGGAACTGCGCATGGTAAGTTGTCTTTTTTTTCAAATGTGAGGATCAAAGGAGATATTGATTGGGGAGATGCATAGATGTATATGGATGTGGACATGGGACGTCGGAATAAAGTTAACAGTATGTGCAGCAACCGTAGTGCCGTACCGGGCCTATGCAACCAAGGATACCAACATTGCAGTAGGCGGATGCAATGATCGCCTCTTTAAAATCCTTTGCGATAAGCTGTCACATCCGGAATGGGCGACGGACCCACGCTTCCTAACGAATGCTCTGCGCGTACAACATCGCACCATACTCGACGACATGGTAGAGACAGAGCTCAAAACCAAGACGACAAAGGAATGGCTGGATATCTTCGAAGGCAGTGGAATGCCGTATGCGGCCGTCAACGACATCAAGGCAACTGTAGAGCATGAGCATGTGCTTGCAAGAGGCATGATAGAAGAAGTTGATCACAAAGCTCTCGGGAAAGTCAAACTCGTAAATCATCCAGTCAAGTACTCAAGAGCAGAGCCCAAGATCCGGATGCCGCCGCCGCTACTAGGCGAGCATACGGACGAAGTCTTGAGAGAAGTGCTGGGGTATGGCGAGGATGAAATCAAGGAGTTGAGAGATACTGGCATTGTTGCATAGTATCTACATAATACGAAACGTAATGTGTACAATACATGCATAAATTATTCCTTCCCGCTACATACAAACACATACAAAGCTTCGGACGCAGGTATTATATATGCGTATACTGATATAGTACACCAAGTCGGAGGGCAACCAATCTGTGTGAGAGCCCAGTTCTAGTGTCTTACTCACCTGCCCAATCCATCGTGTTGTCCGTTCCGAATGATCGAGGTCCTGCTCGGCCAATACGCGGTCTTGACATTTTTCCCTCCCTCGCTTCTGCCCCCCCCTTTTTTCTTCCTTTGTCTTTTTTTATTCCAGTGTTTTGGTCTGCTGAGCAAACTTACCGTTTCGGCGTTTCTTTCAGGGTGATTCAAACCTTGTTTTGGGCGGTCGTGTCAGCATGCACGCGCATATGCAATGTCACTCGAGGGCCCCACGACGTCGTCCTCTTTTACCCTTGTGGACGCGCTAGCCCCACCGATGCCCCACACAGAATCGAACATCCAACACGTCCCTTGTTTGTTGTCGTGACGAGCAATGTTGATGTGAAGCTTGGATGTAGAGTGTGATTGTGGTTTCAGAAGCATGCTGATGTGCATGTCATCAACGTCGGCGCCTTGCTTGTTTGACAACGTGTCTGTCGATCGACATGGTTCTTGGCTGCGCATCCGCGGAACACCGCAAGTTGGAATCGAGATGTACCAACACCGTTTGAGAAAGACGATTTTTCAGTGGCATGATCGCCCGGTGCCAATGAGACGGTGCTTGGAGGGTGTGACGAGTCTGCAAGATGCGTACATGCGTACGTCTTGAAACTGGTCCAGACGTGATCGGCCGTGTACACTTTGCAGAGGCACAGAGCCAAGTCCGGTTGAGCTCTTGTTAGATTTCTGTGCATACTCAATGTCGTCAGGTGTTTGGCCATGGCAAATGGACAGTGCATGTTGTTAGATTAGTGTCAACGGCCACGCCACGTGCAACATAGGGTCCTCTGGCACGCGAGAATGATTAATTGCATAGTGACAACGAACCGATTGGCCAGCGGCGAGTTTTCAAAGGCGGTCCAAACGCCTCGAAGCTTTTTGAAACCCACCCTATACGCAAAATTTCCGATGTCCGATGTCCGACCAGGAGACCAACATGCGGGCTATTAGCCGATGTCCAAAGTAGCAATCAATTGACAACAGCTGCTGCATTGAGCAAAGCATACTGCCGTAACAAGGCAATTGGAACGGTTGAAGGATCCAATATGGCCAGCAGGCCGGCATGGCCCCACTGGTATGCGCACCACGTCCCCCACGCGAGGTGATCCGGGGTTGAAGAGGGAATCCTTTGAGAATTCGGACCTGAAGGCAGTCTTTTTCCAACACTACATTAGCAGAATAGCCCTACTACGCCCTCTGGCCTCGGTCGACCGGGCAGTCAAAACAAGGCACAGCACGATCTCCGGGGCTGGATGGTCAGCTCATGGGATGTAAGCCGATAGCCTTTCTGGGTTGGGGTGCGGCTGCGCGATTGGCATAAGGCGTGGCAACCGTCAGACAAGCGCTGGGATCGGGTGGCAACGATTGGAGAGGGAGGTTGTCGGGCGGTGCAATCTAGAGGAGGCACTGCGGATTTATATGCATCTGGTAGATGAGGTCGACATGAGCCTATACTGGCCGCATAGTAGGCCGAGTCAAGGCATAGGCATGGCTTCCCCCGCAGTCCACCATGGCTTGGCAGCCTAACTAGCGCCTCCGGCCGCCGGTCGTCGTCGAAGGGTCCTCCGATCACCCGCCAAACACATTGAAACATTGCAACTGCTGCCAACCATGGCATTGAAGCAATGTAGCATGTGCGATCGCACCTTCACCAAGCGTACGTTGCCCTCCGCCCTCTGGCCACGATGGAAGTCCAGCAAACTGACCTGCCTGACAGTCGAGCACGTGAAGCGTCACGAGCGGTCCCGTATGTCCGCCCCAGTCGGTCGAAGAAGACGACGACGACGACCAAAACAGCACCAGCAACTAATCTGCCAGCTAGACACCAGAGAGCGCCCCTACGAGTGTCCGACATGCAAAAAGCACTTTTCGCGCAGGTGAGGCTTCCTTGAGAAAAAAACAAAAAGAGTTCCCGTGTCCAACCTCCAATCAGCGACGTCCTATTTCGACACTGCAAAGGCCATGCCCAAAATGCCATGAACCGGATGAAAAACAATGAACCGCAGCAGAATGCCTCGACGCAGCAGCAGCCTCTGCGCACCAACTCTCTCGATGATGGCAAGACCCCCATGTCGGCGGTGCCTTCACGCACAAACAGCGGTCCCACGCCAATGCAGACACCTCCCATCCAGGACGATGCCAGCTTCTCGCCCATGACCAGCAGGACAGATGCGCAAATCCACCAGCACATGAACCCAAACCGTCACTACAGCGCCCATCTTGCTTCCACTCCTCACGCACGCCAGCCTGCCTCGCGACTGCATCCGGCTTCACCCGGCGATGATCGCATCGAGGCGCTTATTAATGCTGCACAGCACCTTGAGCCTGGAGTCGACACGCCATGGCGGTCGCCCTCGCCAATGCTCATTTCCCGCGCGGAAACCGCGCCGATGCAGAGCCGCAATCACCACGACAACATGGGCCCCCCGATTGATCCGGCCATGGAGGTCCTTTCATTCTCGCCTGCAGGCCATGTTTCAAGCTTGGACCAGTGGGCGTTTGAGCTCGTCCAGAGCAGCAACCCAATTCCCAACCGGACCCCAGCAGATGCACTGCAGACGTGGCTTTTTCCAATAGAGCAAGAAGGGCACACGCCGAACGGACCGCACTCGCTTGGAGTAGGGGGGGTTGATGGCGGCTTCTTCGACTCGGACGCCTTTCGAGCAATGCAAGAGAATCAAGCCAGCCCGTCAGGGAGTAGCGCGTCTATTGCAAGCAGAGTGCCAAAAGAGCGCTTTCAAAGAGTCCAGAATTGCTGGCCGTCACGAAATCGGCGCTCGTCGCGTTTAATGCCGGATCTGTGGCAGAGTCTCGTATCGTCCGACTGCATCAACATCCTCTCCGAGTATGATTCCAGATCAGCGGATACGCCCGCCAGCGAGAGGCAACGCAAAAATCAGCGTTGGGGTCTTGATGAGGAATGCAGAAGCAGGCTGCAAAGCACACTGAACAATCTGCCCATATCGAATCTGATACGGTCAGAATCCGTGGCAGATACCATATCGTCAAGCGGAGATGCTGCGGGAAGTCCGAGCGTAGAGGGCATCATCCAGTTTCCACCCGCTGAGATTCTCGACATTGCTTTGGAAATGTATCTCTACTACTTCCACCCTACCCTGCCAGTCATTCACATACCAACATTTTCGGCCAAGAATGCTCCGCGGTCGTTACTATTATGCATGTGTTTGATTGGATTAAGCATTCTGGGGACAGCTGGCGCAGCCAAATTCGTTACACGCACATTTCCTGTAAGATAAGCACATGGGATAAACTCTCGTCTGCTAACATGCATATAGGCTGTGTTGCAGCTTGTAATGGCCGAGTTACAATCGTTACCAACATCAGACCAGCCTCCACATAGACAGATGCGGGTTATCGCTACAAGCTTGCTAGCCCTCAACCTGGCTTCCATTACCGGAGTGAGTTTACCAAGGAACACAATATGTTCGCAAGCTGACCCATTGCCAGCGAAAAAGCCGTATCGCGCAAGCCGAGAAGCTATACTCGGAGCTTATTGGTGTATGTACACATTCGTGTCTATTCTTGTTGTGATACTGATAGCTACAGTTTGCTCTAAGTCAAAGCCTATTCTCTGCGAATGAAGCCGGCAAGATAGAACCACTCCTCGATGAAATTATCGACATCGACGCCAAATGGAAGACATGGTCCAAGATTGAATGCTGCAAACGCATCATATTCGGTCTGGTCGAGGCAGACTGCTGGTGGGCAGGATATCTCTCAACACCTCCCATGATACGCCCAGAAACAATCCACATTTTCCCGCCGTCCGATTACGCTTTGTATCATGTAAACAGCGCTGCAAAATGGTTCCATCTGGTGCAAAGAGGTGCCAAAGTTCATTCACAAAAGATTACGCCATCATTTCATCCAACGCCGGGATTGAAACTGGATCCCAGTAGTTTTCGATGCTTACTAACACTGCTCCTCCTCCGTATCTACGAGAGCAACGATCGCTTAGCTCCTGCGACAGGACACCAGAAGCAAATGGAGCCCTGGCGCATTTATGCCGAAGACCCGCGAAGTCGTGACATCCTCCCTTTGCTAGTCAATCTCTCAAGCTCCTCCATCGACGCCGTCCGCACCGCAGACCTCAACTCTGCCGTTCTCTGGCATGCCTCATGTATGCTTCTCGGCGCCAACTTGCGCTACTTTGAGCTCGCAGCTGGGCGGTCAGGCCCCGAACCCGCTGTGAATGCCCTCGAAGACATTTCAGCATGGAGCCAAACGCCCAGCGCTCGTCGCAGTATCCTCCATGCCTCCCAGATCTACAAACTACTTTTCGACCGCAAAGTCAGTGATATAGTCAACCCGCATAGCGTGGTCGCTCTCTTTGAAGCCGCTCTCATACTAGGCCTGTACATTTTTACCGTTCCGCCCCACTCCTTAAACTCTACCAACGGCAATTGCCCATCAGCCGACTCATGTATCGAGCTTCTCGATCCCGTCGATTGGCTTTCTGTCGGACAACTGGGTTTCATAGACAGCTCGCAGTCCCCCGTCGGCTTCGCCGACACAACCGAAGCCCTGAAATTCATCCGTCACGGCGGTCCATTCAGCATAACCGGCATCGCCCTCGATGGCGGTTACCTAGCCGCACGCCGTACCCTCTTGCACTGCGCAGACCTCATGGAAGGCATGGGCCGCTGGAAGAGCCGCACATTCAGCCAAATCCTGCACATCATGAGTGACGACCTAACCGAACACGACAGCCACAGCAACGACGAAGCTGATTTCGCAGCCGAAATGCGAGATAACGACGAGGAGCGCGACCGGAGACGCAGCGGGACGAGGCTCGGTCTCCAGGACGATCCGCTATGACGGTGGCAGTCCTCTTCCCAACAGTGTCTTTCCATTACAAAGCTGAGACACTTGTGGGGGAAGAGGAGAGGACGGAATGTATCGCGGTAAAAAATAAACGGTGGGGAGTGGGAGATGCATGTGTGTATGGGTTTGTTGTGCCTGGATTTCTGTTGGAGGGGGACGAGATGCGGAGTTTCAACACTGTTTATCTGCTGCTGTCCCCTTTTTTTTGTACGCGCAAATAACAGGATTGGGGACTTGGGCTGTCTTTATTTAAAAAAGAGAAGAGCATGTTATGTCGGTGTGGGGCGGAGTGTTCATGAAGCATTTGTTCAGTTACGGGTTACAGATGGGCAAATAGCGGGGGGTGGGTGCGGCATTGGGACGGCGCTTGTGTTTGTATCTCTCTTTTATTTTTCCATATCATAGGGGAAAAAACGGGAGAGCGAGAGAGAGAGAAAAAACAAATGTTGAAAGATTGAGATTTATTCATTTTTTTCGTCTTCTTTATACTTTTACATGGTTTCGATAACTCTGTGTGAGGTTTGCCTCTTTTCTTCTTCTTCTCTGCGTGATGAGCATGTGTCGACAAGCCCTACTTGCTACTATCTTGACTGTCCCTTTGTCTCTCTTTTTTTCTTCTTTTCCCTCTCTTCAGCGAAAAATATCCATATCCTGCACTTTAATCGGTGTACCGTGCGTGATCAAATCACCTGCAGTGCTACTCTGCATAATGGGGTCCAAGGGCGCCAGATCCATGGTTCGGTATTGTTCGAGGTCTGCTAGGGCTGCTTCTTCTTCCTCTTCAACTTCACAGCGGGCTTCGTAGCGGGCTTGCTGAGAGTTGGTTTTGCGTGAGTACGGGTTTCGACGGTGCTTGGATGGCCGAGGTGGGTTGGGGGTTGGGCTTGAGGGGGTAGTGTACGGTGCGCTGGATGGTGTGTCGGTAGTTGATGAGGTGCTTGGGGAAAGAGTGGGTTCGGAGGCTCGGCGTGTGCGATCGGAAAGTGATATTGAAGGGGAGAGTTTGTTAGCGTTTGTATCGGGGAACTGTCAGAGGGTTAGCAGTTTTTCATCTTCATGTGGACGCATACTGGCTTTCTGAAATATGGGGGAATCACGAGTAGATTCGGCATCGCTTTCGTCACCAACATAGCTATTCTGAGTCGTATACTGCTCGGTTGCTTCTTTTGTTGCCGCCATCTTGGACTCGAGTTCTTGCGCTGATACCTGCGCCCTCAATTTCCCCTCGATCAGTCTGCGATGCTTGTTCATCTGCTCGTCCTCATCTGACTCTGCCTGGTCATGCGGATACAATGTGCCGAAGTCCTGTGCGGGGACATCTACGACGGTCGTAAACGGGACATTCATGACGTCTTCAATAGTGTCGCCTTCTTGGATGTCGAGCTTGGAGACGGCTAAATCGAAGTCGCTCAACTCCATGGTTTTAGTCTTTTTCGTCATTGTCGTACTCATGTGAAGTTGCTTGAAGGCGATAGTGCTTGGTTCAACTATGGCAATAGAGGGGAAGGGATGTCGGTACCAGGAGCATAATGCAGGAAGGGACGATGAGATCAGATAGGTAAAGTGGGGGCAGCAAACGCGGAAAGGGTAAACAGTAGTTGCTTTCACTAGACATTTATGAGATCACGAATAGGTCTTGCCAGCTACAGTAGGTAGCTACGTTGATTCTCAGTCGATGAAAATGACTATACAACAGACATGTTGGTTCTCATACGAAGCAGATAGTAAACCCATGTGAACAATTTTACTAAATTCAAACCTCAACACCCTCTTCACCCACACGTACCCCTCTAAGCACATACCCATCCCTCCTCGCCTCAGCCGCCTCTCGCAATAAAGTCTCACTAATCTCTTCAGATCTCACCTTCCACCTCACGCTATACGGCTTCGCCATCGTCGTACTCCCAACTGCATCAAAAGCCTCATCACTAGTATCAACCTCGATTTCCTTTCCCGAGCCATCAAGCGGCGGCAAAATATCAAAAGCCCAGAGCAACTTTGCGAGAACAATAAAAATGCTATTCTCTGCGAGATGCACACCAGAGCAGATTCGGCGGCCTGCGCCAAAAGCCCAGTGGTCACGGCTTGCTGCAGGCCCGGCAGCGTAGTGGCCTGATCCGTGCGGGTGGTTGAGATATCTTTCTGGATAGAAGCGCTGGGGTTCGTTGAAGAGGTTGGGATCGTAATGAATGGGGTACTGTTGGAGACATACGACTGACTGTGCGGGGATGTGGATACCTTTGTAGGTGACGGGCGCGGTGGTGTAATGCGGTGTACCAATGTTGGTGACGGGACGTAGACGCAGTGTTTCTTTGACGATGGCACGGACATAGGGCAACTCGGCCTCGTCATCAAAGGTTGGAGATCGAGTAGATGATGCGATTTTCTGTATCTCCTCAAAGGCCCTTTGCCTGGCATGTGGGTTTGCAGAGAGGTAAAGAATCGCTGTGTTTAGTGCTGCAGACGTTGTTTCACTTCCTGCTTCAATCATACTACCTGCCAGAAACGCTGCCTGCAGCTCACTGATACCCTGTTTTTCGTAGTCGCTTTCGATGAACTGTTTGACGAAGCATTCGGGAGCTTGTTTGGTTTCCATTTGCGTTTTCAAGGTGCTCCAAAATGACATCCAGAGTTTAGCTTGCTTTTCAAAGTATGGTTTAACATCTTTGCGCCACCACTGCAGTTTTGGAGGAAGTTTTCCGAGGAAAGGAAGTGTGTCAGCAAGGTAAGTGCCTGGCTTTGCCATGAGAGAGAAATCGTTCATGATATCATAAATGCCATGGACTTCGTCGCAATCCTATTCTTATCAGTCCGAATCAATACATGCTTTTCGTATATGCGTACTCACCCAATCTGGTATGCGTCTTCCATAAGTACTTGTCATGATGACACTAACGGTATATCTTCTGATCGCTTTGTAACTGACTCCATTTCCCTTCTCTGTATCTGCTCCGTGCAAAATCTCCTCAAGCAGCATCTTTGCTTCGAATTCCTGACTTGGCTTGAAAGTAGCGCTCACAGCTGGAGTCAGCAGTTTGTGGCTAATGCTTCTTAACTTTCGCCATTCAGGTCCATACTCCATGAACAAGAATCTCATTCCCCCGCTGAGTGCATCTCCAGATACAGGTAGTGGTGCTCGTGAGCTAGTGGATGCAGACTGTTTGTCGAGAATCTCCTTGCACGCATCAGGCGAGCATATCATGTACCAATCATTCCAGCCCAGTCGGATCCTATATACTTCGCCATACTCGCGAGCCCATGATGTGATTTGCTGGTGCGGTTGCTGGCCGAGTTGATGTGCATTTCCGAGAATTGGAAGGCCGGTAGGTCCAGGTGCGGCTTTTGTGCCGGGCGGCGGCTTATTCTTGTATCGCGTGTAGATGACAAAGGTCACGAGCAGCAAGGATAGGAGGGCAAGGGTGTACATGTGGGGCTAGGAGTAGCTAGGGTGTGTGTTGGGGAAGAACATGAAGCGTAAGAAACAAGACAACGCTCTTAGGGATTAGACTTTGGGAATTGGGCCTTCTGGGTATTTCATCAAGTATGGACATTCTGTTAATGATATGCATGGTTTGAGGTAGGTGGCGTCCCCACATGTTTAGGCTAAGACACCTGACACTGAGTACGGCGCAGGCAGATGAATGAGGGGAATGTGGAGTAACGCTCAACAGGCTAACCCGTATTTTGTCCAGAGCCTCTTCTCCACCTTTCCCCATATTCGGTCAGACTCATGGCAACGGGGAAATTCATATGGGCTCCCACAGCGCGTTAGCACGTGTTAGTCGCGAGTGTCTCGAAGCCTCTTAGCGGGACCCATCCCACTAACTCTCGCAAGTAGACTCAAAACCATACGATCCGAAAGATGATAAGTCTTTCCGCTGTGAAGGTTGCACAAAAAGGACGCTTAAATGGAATAATAACAAGCACCTTATTCATCCAATCGTTAGTCAGCAGTCTCTCTGTCGGCTCCCGAAGCCACCGAAACCCACATCCATCCTTCAGCAACCTGGCGAAGATCCAGCCTTGAAATCAGTGCGAATCATGTCGAGGTCTCAGCGCAGAATCGCATATAAATCAAGAGATCGCATCCCGTAGCTAACAAGTCATGAAACACTAAAAATGCTCACCCGCTTAGCAATCCGCACGCCTCTGCGTTTCCTAACATCGAGTCTGTATCTCTACAGCATCCGCGCACCAATTTCCCAACGCACCATATCCACCTCGTCCGCATTTAAACTCGACCCTTCCCTCTTCAACCACACGCTCTACGATCGCGTAATATCGACATGGTTCCCCGGCGTCGACACGAGCGGGCAGGAGCTCGACATGAGCGTGGTGAAGCGCTGGTTCATGGCGACCCCCGCTGAACGAGTCGCATTGGACACACAATGTCGCGAGGCCTTTTCCCCTGCACTGGAAGCCATTGGCCCCGACAAATACCCCGATGCGACCGCGCGCCCATTTCTCGACGAATTGCACCGCATTGCTGAGCGAACCGGGGATGTGAATAGCGAGGAAGCCGCATGGACGGCGCTCAGTATGACGCTCCTGCTCGACCAGATACCGCGCAACATATACCGTACGAATTCTGGGCTGCAGCTTGTGTACAACCACTACGATCGCATAGCGATGCATCTTGTCCGCACCCTTCTATCCTCCGAGTCGCCTATCTCGCGACCGGATTTACATCCTGTCTTCCGCCTTTCGTCGCCGCATAGGATGTGGTTCTATATGCCGCTTATCCACTCTGAAGACGTGGCCGATCACGATGTCGTAAACGGCATTGTATATGAGCTGGAGAAGGAGGTAGCAAGTTTAGAGGGATACAAAGGCACGAAGATGTTTATTGAGGGGTCCAATAAGTCGGCTAGGGAACACAGAGACATACTGGATAGGTTTGGTAGGTATCCGCATCGGAATGGGGCGTTGGAAAGGGACAGTACGGAGGAAGAGAAGCGGTTCCTGGAAGAGGGAGGAGCTACGTTTGGGGTGGCGCAGGAAAAGAAGGAAGCTGCGTTGTAGAGTATTAGTTGAGTGTGAACACGGTCTTAGGCATGTAGAGTATCTTTGCATTAGTGAAACATCCTCGAGTCAGTTTGCTATGGAACAAGGTGTGTCTTTGCCAACACATCAGTGTTTGCGTACGTCACCGGTAATTTGCGTACGAAATAGTGCTATGTTTCTCTCTTGGTCTTGTCTTCGGCCTGTTGTACCTGCACCTCGAACCAACGTAGCAGCCGTTCAGTAGCCTCGACATTCCTCTTCAGCTCTTCCGCATTCTGCCGAATTTGCTTGAGATGCTCAAACACTCTTGATCCATCCGCTGGCTGTATTGATTCGTACTGCAATAAAGCATGCTCAAGGTGATGTAGGACTTCCTTTTGTCTTATCCAGTTGGTACGCACTTGCTCGGTGACCATGATTGGGCCTTGGTAGTCGTATTGCGCAGCTGCTGCCAACTTCTGTGATCTGTCGGATTCTATGAAGGGAGGTTGAACATGATCCGCTTGCCGCTTCTGCCGCAATTGCTTGTCTGCGTCTGCTTCGTGGTATTCGAGAATCGCATGCCTAATACTCATGTCCCCAGCCATGTTGTTGAGTAGTTGCAGCTCTCGTCGAAGTATGTCTTTTTCTCTGTCTTCTTCGACATGGAGGTAGAATTCCTTCTCCCTATCCGCAAGATGCTCCCACACGAACTGCATTTCAACTCCTGCTTGTTTCTTGTGCTTCTGGATTTTCTCCCGCCATTCAAGAATGGCGCTTTCGTCCCGCGTCTGAAGACTGTCCTTGTATGCTCGATAACCTGCTTCGAGGTCTGGCCCTGTAAGATCGTCTGCTTTGAACTCTATTTGCATGAGGGTGAACTTGGCCGTGTCTGCTTGCAGCGATGAGCTCAACGTTGGCCCCTGAGATTCTCGGCTCAATGGTTTTGCGTGCTGCTGTCGGCTACGTATACCACCTGTTCCTCCTACCCCAGTAAACTGTAAAGGATTCTGCAGGATCTGTAGATATGGAGATGTGTGACACTTGAACGCGAGTTTGCCGATAAAAGATAGCGAAGCTTTCGCTTCTTTATCGCTCTGCAACTTCTCATATTCTCTCGTCCGGATCACCTCTTCGGATGATTCTATGAAACCCATCATTTGCGAGTGGATGCGAGTTAGGAAGGTTTCTGAAGCTTTGTATCCAAGTGCGCATCCAACAGTCACTGCTCCAATGTATCTTGAAATTCCATAAGCTCCAGGAAAAGCGCGCGGGTTCAGGGCCGTCACAACACCCAATGCTCCGCCAGCCAGCGTCGCGTCCTCTGCAGTCCAGCGCGTTGTCCTTTGCCACAGCTTTCCAGGCTCCGGTGCGATATTTTCCATTTTAAATACACCTCTGTTTATCTCCCGTTGCCCGTACAATCCAGCAGCTGTCCATGAGAGATCGACGACGCTGAAGAAAGCGGCGGAACGGAGGAATATGCCTGGACGTGAGCGGCCGACAAGCGCAGTGAAGCCAGTGAAGCCAGCTGCAGCAAGCGAAGCTCTCCATGGTGATGTGATGAGGTCATGCTGTGCAGCGAGGCCGCCAGGTCGTCTTCGCACGAGCGGATGTTGGTCCTCGCCTAGAGCTCGGTCAGGAGCTATGCGCCGCTTGTGCCCTTCAGACACATACCTTCAGGAACGAATAATCGTAGGACCATTGTGGATTACAATGGTCATTTACAATATCGCGGAGCTGGCTGTAATAAAGCGATAGTCATTGGATACATTAGCCCAATGAGTGGAAACTTGCAGCATGAAGCAGAAGCCATGCATACGCAGTTCGGGAAATTGCGTTCATGATGTCGATGATGCAGGCACGACCCTTGCGGTAGTACAAATGACGTATCAATCGCGAGTGGCTTGAAGCAAGTGGCAAAGAACAAGCACTATAAGCAATGGCTGCCCTCAAATTTAGAGCATTAATTCTTCCCAATCGTTTCAACTAGACGCTGATACGTATGTTGTTCTAAAACGACAATGTCAGGTCGGTAGGTGGACCAACCCCACAACTGAAGCCCCGCAGCGCTGTCATGTGATTTGTTCTCTAATTGGACAAGTACCATGGCCCTCTTCCATTGGTAAATTTTCTCTGGATATATCGCGAGATTTGCTTTTTTCTTCCATCAATAGCTACTACAGCTACACGGTCTTATGGTCTAGTGGTATGATTCTCGCTTAGGGATTTCCCGAGCACAGCTTGCGAGAGGCCCCGCGTTCGAGTCGCGGTAAGACCCCATTTTTTGCACTTTCGGTGGACTTGTAATAAGTTCCATGGGAAGTGCGAGCCCTTTTATTTTTGCATTAGCGTATAAGTGACTGACTATGATGTGAACAGGTATATGTTGCCTTAGTAGAATGTTATGATGCTCTCTGTAAATGAATACTCTGTTTTTGGATGCCGATGTAGAAGATCAATATCCTCCTCTTAAATGCTTCACTACCATCAACACAAATGCACTATTTATGTCTTTTCCTAACCAAACCCAGCGCGTGACCATGATCAATATTCCTAAGATATTATCCTTATGATGTTTTAATCTACTACCAATTTTAAAGAAATACATCGTCATCAATTCGTAACAAATTCGAATAGAATTTTTTGCGCAGAAATTTATAAAACTGAATCATCGCCTAGCTAAGTATTTCATCAAAATGAAGACACATTAAGTACGTTTAAAAGTTCGAACGTGACTGATCAGACCTTCTTATAGAGCTTGCTTATTGGTCCTTTGACGAGTTCTATCACAAGACAATCATTCAATCAACTACATTACGTCCTACATAGTAGAAGAATTATAGGTAAATCCGCTATTGAAACCTGCCAACTGGATGGACTAGAAACTTTCAGGTTTCCATAGTATGTTTGCAATGTGCAGTTGATGACTTCGGTCGAGAAGATCAGAATATAGTAGCGTTCATGCATAACTACACTAGTAACGAAGGTACACCGGCTTGCAGGGAGACGAATAGGAAGCGTTCGGCAACTTTGCGAAAAGTTCAACCACGAACCCGATAAAACACACACAAAATATGATCTAGACTGTAGCTATTTGTCATGTACATGCACATGTCATTGGTGGGTGTTGGTGATGAATGACGTAACTGATCAAATGTCGAGCGCGAGAATGTTTGACCCCTGCACTTCAGCCTAACGCAACATTTATCAACAAATCCTGCCTCCACCTACACCCCACTATACATATACGTACAACCCACGAATTAAATAATGCGCTCCCTGAGACCATCCGCCGCGCGTAAAATCCGCGCATCAATTACCTCCGAATCGGCCGTCTCATCACTATTTCGCACGCGACAAATCGGCACACCATGTCTCTTCTGCGCCCACCGCACAGCACCTCAAGCAGCTTTCCGTCGTTTCCAATCCACATCGTCGAGCTCGAATACGGTCGAAAAGCCATTTGAAACAAAGCCATCAGCAGTGGCACAAGCCCCACAAACACACTACTCCTTCTTCCCCGCATCACTCCCCGACGGTCCCCCACCAAACGGCCCCTTTGCCATCGACCTTGCCGCCCTCAAGCGCGAGTTTCTACAGCTACAAGCACGCGCGCATCCCGATCTGCATCCGCAAGCGGACAAGAAACGCGCCGAAGCCACGTCGGCACGCATTAACGAAGCCTACAAGACGCTCCAAAACCCCTTGTTGCGCGCACAATATCTACTTTCGTTGAGGGGCATTGAGGTGGCGGAGGATGAGACGGCCAAGGTGGACGACCCGGAACTGTTGATGGAGGTTCTCGAGGCGAGAGAGAGTATCGAGGAGGCGGAGCGAGAAGAGGATTTGGAAGAGATGCGGCAAAGGAATGAAGAGAGGATAGCACAAAGTACAGAGGTTATCGACAAGGCGTTTAAAGAGGATGACCTCGACGCAGCGAAGAGTGAGGCGGTAAAATTGAGGTACTGGGTCAACATCAAAGAGAGCATAGAGAATTGGGAAAAGGGTGTACCGGTTGTGTTGCAGCATTAGCAAGGCGTAAACGGCTGGAGTATGGTACTGTAAAACAAAAAGCTCAATCCCCTCCTCTATCCCATTTTTAACCACTAGATTTTCCCTAGACAGGCACAGTAATGGGATTCATAACCCCCGCGCCCCCATCAACCCTCAACTCGGCCCCCGTGATATAACTACTAAACCCACTGGCCAAGAAGCCCACCGTCCTCGCTACCTCCTCTGGCCTCCCCGCCCTCTCCAACCCAATCGTCCTCTTCTGACTCTCACCCCCTTGCAGACTCGCCGGTGGAAACTGTCCCTGCGCCATCTCCTTGACCCCACAATCTTTCAAATCAACCCCCACATCAATCTGGCCCGCCGTCACCGCGTTAATCCGCACCCCAGTCCCTTTCAACACCAGCACCCCCGACCGCACAACTCCCAAGGCCGCATGCGACGCCATCGTAAACGCAGGAGCCCAGCACCCGCCGTACGTCCCCGCCACGCTCGTCACCACAATGATAGAGCCGTACGCAACATCTTTGGGCGCGGCATTCGCGTAGTTGCCCTTTGGCGTCGTTTTCTGCATCGCCGCGGGCGCGTACTTGAGCGCGAAGAAGGCCGGCAATGCGTTGGTGTCGAATGCGGCGTATAAGTCCTTGGGTCCGGTTTGCGTGATGGAGGGGGGGCCTAGGAGCCCCGTGGATGAGGTCCAGACGTCGAGGCGGCCCCAGGTGTTTAGCACGTCGTCGATGAGGGCGAGCGTGTCTTCTTCAGAGGCCATGTTGTACGGGTAGCTGATGATTTTCGTGTTTGGGTACTGGGTGCTGGTCGTGTCGGGGAGGGTGTAGGGGTCAGAGGGGAGGGTGGAGCAGGCGTAGATGCAGGCTGCGCCGTGGGCTAGGGGAGGGGTTTGGGGTTAGAATTGATACGGTTGTTGTTCAATTGGGGACTCTTCTTCTCCTTCTTCTTCTTCTTCTGAGCGAGGAGGTAGTGTTGTGAAGGAGGACGCACCGGCCAATTCAGCGACTATGGCTTTGCCTACGGGTTGTGTGGCGCCTGTTACTACACAGACGAAGCCGTACTATACAAATTCCCACATTGCTTGTTAGCTAGAGACACTTTTTTTTCCACGCCCGTTCCATCTCTTTCTTTCCCCAATCCACACTCTAACATCCCCAAGTTTCCTGCAGATAAACGAAAACAACTTACAAGTTTCCCATCAGCCCTATACGGCGAAAAGTGCTCCGAATCCGTAATTCCTTCTTCCCTCCTACTACTTCCATTGCCTTGCGTCATCTTTCTGTCACTTAGTTATTCTATCTCTTCGATAAATACGCAACACAGCAGCGTTTTCAGCAAGGGAAAAAGAAAAGGGAAGAAGATGCACGCACTGCTTGAGCGCAGGCAGACGGAGGGGATAGTCACAACATGTTTGAACGGCTAATTGACTTGTTTTGCAGGCATATTAGATTGTGTCAGTTGTGCATTACATATCCACGGGGCGCGGAGATAGGGAAATGTTGGCTGTTGGAGGGGGATTTCTTATCTGAGGGCTTATCGGGAGGTTTCCGCGGGGAAAAAAAGAAGAGAGGCTGCGCTGTGCTGAGGGGTGAGTGGGTGCAGGATAACTTGAAAAAAAAGGTCAGATGTGAGATATTCCATGGACTTTGAATGTAGTACAATGGAACACATAGTGTGTATTCAATGCTGTTTTGTAGAGTATGTACCCGTCTAATCTAGTACCTCAATCCACGCCCCCCAGCACGCCAGAGATGCTCACATACTACTCCCCACCAATCATAGCAAATGCACCATCACCAACACCCTCAATGCTACATAATCCCCAAACCCCAACCCACCCTTCTTTACGCAGTCTTCGCCTTATCCTCCTCCTGCCCCTTCCTCAGCTCCTCGCGGGGGGGCAAAACATCCGGCCCAAAGCTGAGCGGCAACAACTCGCCCATGGTCCTCACAATCCACTTGCCCTCCTTATTGAACATGAAAATCGGCGTTTCGAGCCGCAAGAACTCGCGCAGGAACTGGCGACACATGCCGCAGGGAGAGCAAAAATCCACAATATCGGTTGTGACGCCGACGGCTTTGAAGGCGCCGATGCGGTGGCCTGCCATCACGGCTGTGCCCATGGCGACGCGTTCGGCACACGTGCCGACGGGGTAGGCGGCGTTTTCTACGTTTGCGCCCGTGATGATGTGCGTTGTGGATGGGGCGGTGGGATTCGAGGTGTTGAGGAGGAGCGAGGCGCCGACGCGGAAGAGGGAGTATGGGCCTGGATTTTTTTTGCTGTTTGTTGGTGTACTATTCTTCTTTTTTTTTATGTCCCCATTCCATACACACGTACAAACTAGACGTTTTTCATGGCCTAATCTGATTGTATATATTGGTATGAAAACTATACTACTTACAATAAGCCCTCTCGCGCGCATCAAAGCATTGCTCCCCTAGAATCTGCAGCTCCTGTGCTGAGACGCCGTGGATCAGGCCATTTTCTTCGTTGACGGCTTCTCCGGGGCTGAATTTGGGGATAGTGAGCGTGGACATTGTCAGAGGGGAGAAGAAAAAGAAGAAGAAAGGAAAGAGGAAAAGAAGGGCGACGCGACGCGCCGTATGCTTTTGGGGAGGGCACGCATGACGTGGGGCCCGAGGTGTTGTTAACGCGGGGCTTCGTTGGACAGAGCCGTTTGGCTAGTACGTACATGGGCGGAAAGAGGCGGTTCGGGCAACTCCGATGGGCTTGTTAACAAGACAGGTGTATGGTGAGGGTCATCTGATACTTTTTTTGCTCATGCGCTTGGAGCCGTGCGGAATATTGGTTTGCTAGATTGAGAACATGCTAGCTTTTGCGCTTAGACCGCAGATGCGGGGTGTGCTGATATGGTGTTGTTAGTTGGTATGCATATCGTGACCAAGGAAAACTCGGACGTCTTCTCTCACGGCATTTCTAAACTTTTCAGGTCACTACTAGTACACCGAATAGTGTTTCCCTGAAATTTTCGTCTTTATGTAACCACCTGCTCATAATAAGGCCAGCTTCTTTCTAGAAAGATTCTGGGAATTAGTGCTGGTACAAGACGTCTATTGTGATGGGCCGATACAGGCTTTCTCCGATAGATTCAATCTCTGTAAAAACAAGAAGAAAAAGAATGAACTGTCAAGGAAGAAGAATAAACGTTCAAATGCTACAGGTACCCGAAACATGGTATGCACTACCCTACAAGATTCCACTCATGACAATGGCTTGGAAAGATACCAGTCCTAAGCTAATCGTGAAATGGATTCGATTCCGCTATGAGCATAAAGCTACTCCCCAAACTAACCTATAATCTATACATCAACTCCAAAAAAGAACTTACACATCACACTCTATAGTCAATGTGAAAGGATTGAAGGATATGAAAACACCCCTCAATTAAACCGACCAAATCTTTTCCCAATATGCTCACGAAAGAAAGAAAGAAAGAAAGAAAGAAAGAAAGAAAGAAAGAAAGAAAGAAAGAAAGAAAGAAAGAAAGAAAAACTCCCCTACAAAACCGCTCTAACATTTTCTCCCTCCATGACGCCTCCCCTACTCTCCACCTCCACCTCCCTCCACCTCCTCTCAACATCCTCCTCACACCTATACGTCAACAGCCAACTCCCCACGCCCCCCCACCGCCACGCCAGCGGATCCTCGCCAACCCTCAACCCCCTATCTTCAAACTCCTCTTTACTCACCCTGCCCCTACCATTAAACCGGCCAAAAGCCGTCAGTAGCTCATCCCGCCTCACCTGGGCCTCCCCATCATGGACATGATACAGATACTGCTGGCGGTTTCCGCGTGAAACCACGCGTTCGGTGCGCTCGCGCCGACACCGCTCGTACACGGCCAGCGCCCTCGCCTTGTCAGGACGGGACTTTGCAGTAAGCCGGGCGAGACAAAGCCCCAGCACGTGCGCATCTTCGAGCGACATGCCGGCGCCCGACGCAAGATACGGCAGCGTCGCATGGGCGGCGTCGCCGAGAATGGTAAAGGCAGCAGAGCGGGTATGCGACCAGGTGGGATCGAGACCGGGGCGGATCATGAGCCGCCATTTGGCGACGGACTGGCATAGCGCGAGCAGTTTGCCGATGCGCGGGTCCCAGTCTTTGTATAGGGCGCGCATCTCTTCGACGTTGCCGGCGAGCGTGTTGGCGCCGGCGGGCATGTCGTCTGGGACGAGGAGGACCATGTTGAAGAGCTTGCCGCCGCGGAGGACGTAGTTGACTGCGTGGGCGTCTGGGCCAACCCAGTAGTTGACTTGGGGGTCGAGGACGAAGTGGGCTAGGTCGGGGTCTTTGAGCATGTCGTTGGTGTTGAGGAGGAGGCGGTATGCGAGGTCGCCGGTGAGAAGGGGGGGGTCTTTGTGGCCTAGGAGTATCTCGCGACATTTCGAGTTGATGCCGTCAGCACCGACTACTAGATCGGCTGTGTGTCTGGTGCCGTCTTGACACACGGCGGTGGCTCTTGTAGTCTGGTTCCCCTGGTCGGCTTCGTACTCGATATCCACGACCCTCGCTCTTGTAGTCAACTTCGCACCCAACTCGATCGCCCGTTCCAAAAGCCCCCTATGCAAGTCCGCCCTATGGAAATCCCAAAACGGTGTCCCGCATTCTCTCTCATACTCATGAAAATCCATATCGCTTATCTTATTCCCCTTCCACCCCCGCATATTGCAAAACTGCGGTGTAGTCGCATACTTCTCAAGATACGACTCGAGACCCCAGGATATCAGAATTCGCGACGCATTCGGTAAGCATTGGATCCCAGCGCCGATTTCACCAATTTCCGACGTCGACTCGAGGATATGTACGTTGTGCCCGGCTAGTAAGATGGATATCGCTGCTCCGAGGCCCCCCAGACCAGCACCAACGATGACGACCTGTCAGGAACGGCGGAATCAACAAAACAAACATTACGTGACAAGGACAAAAAAAACAGACGTGAAAAATAACACTCACATCAAGCCTACTCTTCTCATCCCGCTGTTTCTGCACAATAACCTGAGGTTTACCAGGCGCCATGATGTCACCTTTCGCGCTTTGCTCACAATTGTATGTTTGAGTAAGTAATTCACGTCTTCCAAACGACTGAAAAGAGAGCTCCCCCCAAAGAAAAACACCAACAGCAACTTGTAACTACACAAGCGGACTCAAAGATGCCCATTCAGAGCTTATTCAAAATACATGTCCCTAGGAAGCTTTGCCAGCTTTGCAGCAAGCCTTCGAGAGCACAAGCTGTCAGTTGTCGTCATACGCTCTCTCTCCCCCCCTCAACCACCACGCGCCAGCCTATCGGACGGCGAAAAAAAGCCTCGTGTGACGATTACATACAGTAGTTCAACAGAGTGCAGAGATGGCTCCAGACGCGTGAGCAAGCGTCGATGCTTATCTAGCCTTTGCAGATTGGAACCTTTGCTTTTTTGGTTGGCAGCGTCGATGGGCTAGCTTCGGGGCGGGCGTGGGCGCGATTGGTGCAGAGGGTGCATATCCGGTAGGCTAAGAGATTGTTCATTGATGCATGTGTGTGTGTGAGTGGGGGGGATAGCGAGTGCGTGAGGATGCAGATGGGATAAGGGCACATGATAGCGTGAGGGGTATGCGTATGCTTTATTCCGATAGGTTCCGGGTATTCCGATGCTGACGTAGTACTCGAGGGCTGGGGGTGAGGATCGTCTTTGTAAGTACATAGTATAACTACTACCCATGGTTGTATGTAGCATGACGGGACGGCGGCATGGAGATAGCCAACGGTATGAGGACAGGGAACGATACAGATAAGGTTTCTAGTACACGATAAGAAGGATGCGATGCTCAAGTCAGTCTCTAGTACGATTTCTCACTCGGTACAATCACGTGACGGCCGACGTTCCCCTCCCACTGCATTCTCTTGTCATGCGAGGTTTGGTTGGATAGCGAAAGAAAAAGTGTCTGTACCAAGCAAGTCAAGGTTCGACTACATCAAATATCAAAGTCGGTGTATTGATATAAAGTAGACACAGCAGGAAATGTGAACAGCAACTCAAAAGGAGGCATTGTAAAAAATCATCACTGGGCATCTGCTTGGCTTGCTGTGTTTTGTTCGTGTTTCCCCGCTTGCCAGGCCTATTTGATGCAGGGTCGCTTTCCGCAGTGGAGCAGGGCGCCTTGCACGACTCGACACGGGGACGCCACGAATCATTATAGGCTTGTTTGTCGCGTGCTCGCGTATTCACGTGCGTTAGGCTCAATCCTTCAGGATCCGCCGAGCACGAGGGAGCGGCATCTTCACCGTCGGCATCGTAGGGCTCGGCAAAACTCTATTTCGACTTGTTTGCAGCTGCATCAACAAAAGTGCTGACAAAACACGTCTGCACCACATTACACGCCATTCACTATCCTATCAATGGCGGCGGCGGCTCCAAGCACTTTTTCTTCTTGTAGGCGACGCGCTACAACCTGCACTCCGACCGGCATGCCGTCCATTGCCTCGAGGTCGAAAATGCTCCAATTCCATTCGTCCAACGCATTTCTCGGACGGTACTCGCCCATGGCCTTGGTAGCCTCAGCATCAAGCTCTTTTGAAACTTGACCAGCAGGTAGTACAACTGCCGGGTAGTCTACAAAGTTAAAAACTTTGGTGTATCCTACCCACCGGGACTTGCCATGTGGTACCGCAGAGTGTGGCATGACGGGCGTAAGCAGAACATCGACAGACTTTCCGCTTTTCTCGCATCGCGTCGAGTTCCACATGTCCAGGTAGCGCTTCTGCAACGCCAGCTTTTGCTTGTTGAGCTGCCAGTAGTCGTACACCGAAATAGCCTGTCCCCTATTCACCAGGGCCTCGACATGGGGTATGAAGGGCTCGCCACCGGCCTCGACGTCACGTCGGATATCCTCACCGCCATCGGCCGTATAATACTGGTCCTGCACACACACGCACACGTCAGGGTCGAGTCAGATGTGGAAATGGTGATGGACTTGCCATGACGTCGATGCACTCCTGGTGCAGACTGCCTGGTGTCCACGCTATCACTTCGTGACCAGCATCTTGGAGGGCAGCGGCGACTTGGTCGAGGATGCGTGCAATGGGTGGATGGCACCTGACTACACCATCGTCGCGCATGACTGCGATGACCAACGGCCTGGATAGCGCATCTTGGTAGAGCTGAGATCGCCAAGCAACTGGACAGCACTTTGGGTCGAGGTCCCAGGGACTTGCGTCGATCACTGCCTTTGTGACGTCGACTAGGGAAGCCATGTTTCGAGTCATCGGCCCTACGACGGACGGGACGTGCTCTTGGCCTTCGGTCGAGACGGAAACGCCTTGGTATGGTAGACGCGTACTGCTGGGCTTAAGAGCATATAGGCCGTTCATATGGGAGGGAATGCGTACGCTACCTCCAATGTCGGTGCCCCATCCAACCACTGTACCTTGCAGTGCGAGCAGCGCCGCTTCCCCACCAGTGGAACCGCCGGAAGTGAAGTCGGGGTTTTTATCGTGAACGGTACGGCCCCACAATGGGTTGTCCGTTTCGCACCACTGGCGCTGTCAGTTGTGCACCTTGTTCTGGAAGCCATGCATGTCGTGTGTGCATATATGTATAGTACACTACATAACGTGGGCACGTGTGGGTGTGTATAAAAGTAGTCATGGACAAGACACTTACCATGATGCTCTGGGGAAGATTGGACTTGGCAAGGATGACGGCGCCCATGGCTTTGAGCATAGAGACCAAGACGCAATCTTGGAGGGCAGGGCGGAAGGCCCGCCCAACGTAGCCCAACGTGCTGTCGTATCCCTTGACGTCGAACTGGTCCTTGAGAGTCATTGGCACGCCGTGGAGAGGCCCCACCAAGCGGCCATTTTGCTCGAAAAAGGCATCGAGTTGCTGGGCTCGTTCAAGGGCATCGTCAAAGAGGATCTCGGTCAGGCTGCATCAGTCAGCAAAGGCGGGGGAGGAGGGGGAGGATTATTGTATTGTTGTATTGTATTGTCTTGTCTGAGATGAGAGAAGGGGAGGGAGCGGGCACGTGCCAGTTTGTCTGTATAAGGCGGTTAGCGGGCCGGAGGGTGGGCGGTCGAGTAGCGGAGGGTGGAAGGCGGCGGGCCGTACGCGGGTTTGAGCATGTGTCGCGCTGGGGGTTCAGGGTGGCGTGAGAATGGGTCGAGAGCAGATTGAGGTTGGCGAGGCTTGCTTACCGGGCGATGTAGGCAAGCAGCAGCTGTGATGCCGTGACAGCACGCGAGGAAATGGCCTGGGAGACGAGCTGGAGGCTGCTGATGGCGGAGGTCAAGGCCAGGCTGTGGTCCGCATTGGGCAAGGCCTGCATCCGCAAGCCGCCCGGGTTCACTTCGGCTGCCGTCGTTTCAGCGCCTGCGCCCGTGAAGCGCTGCATGGCCGCTCGACGCAAAGACTGTTTCTGGGCGGCTACTTGCTGCCATTGGGGCGTGCTGCATGTCGTCATGGCGGTGGAGGAGGAGGAGGAGGAGGAGGAGCAGAGGAAGGGGGGTGGAAGAGAAAGAGGCGGTGGTAGTGGCGAGGATATAGTCACGACGCCACCCACACGAGATAAACAGAGATAAAGAGAGCGAGGGGTGCTGGTGGGGACGACGCGATAGTACACACACACACTGTACACAGCAGAGTGCTTACAGCAGACAGACGGACGGCACGGCGAGACTGGCAGACCAGGCATGCCACTCTGGGATGTACGCACATGGACATTGCAAGCACACCACCCCCGGGCACATGGGCATGCTCAACAACCACAACCCAACCCCAGCCCCTCCACGTGGATGCAATATCGCGGCTTGCCCAGGACAGCTAGCTGCCGTCGGCGCCTCGTCGGCCTTGCAACGGCCACGACATGGGACGTGGTGGTGACTTTGCTTGGGTGGCAGGCCGGGGAGGCGGGTGGGGCTGAGGAAGCTGTTCACGGCCATGTGCATGCAACCCCTTGCGTCGCATCACCCATTGGCGCCCACCCTCTCTCCTCGCCGCCAGCACAATGACGCGCCTCGGACGACCCTGGACGCTGCTCTGCCGTCTGAAAATGGGCACATGTTCGACAGATAATCGGATGTTTGCTGCCTCTCCAAATCCTTCTCACCACCCGCGAGTCGGCCTCCCCCGACCAGCTCTGCCCTAGCGCCCCGGCCACGACTGCCTACATAGCAAAAGCATGGCGCCCTCCCTCTGGACGCGCATGAAGCGCTCAACCTCGACCAGCCCGCCCACGTCCATCCGCGACAAGATGGCCCCCGGCATCACCACCATCTCAGACTCCGAGTCCCGTTCGACCGGCAGCAGTCTGGAAACCACGCCCAGCGTGCCCTACACCCGAGAGGACGACTACTCGAGCTTCATGAGTGATGTCATGGTCGTCGGCGCCGGCCCCGCCGGCCTCATGCTTGCGTGAGTATTCGACGCAAACCAACCACACGGCCAGCTCTGTGCACTCTCCAGCTAACCAATCCAGCGACAACCTGGTCCGCTACGGCATCAAGACACGCATCATCGATGACCGCCCCAACCGCACCGCTGCCGGCCGTGCCGACGGCCTGCAGCCAAAGACGATTGAGACTCTCCGCCAGATGCGTCTTGCAGAGCCCCTGCTGCGCAAAGGCGTCAAGATCTACGACATTGCCTTTTGGAAGTCGACAGCCGACCGGCCACTGCACCGCTCCGGCCGCGAGATTCACTACCCGCCAGTCGTTGACCTGACCGACCCCTACATGCTGCTCGTCCACCAGGGCATGGTCGAGGGCGTGCTCGAAGACGATCTCAAGGAGAGAGGTGTCACGGTAGCCAGGAACACGGCCTTTGTCGACTTCAAGTACACGCCCATGGCCATCCGTCCGCTTACAGTCAGCTGCCAGCAGGACGTCGGCCGTGCCCCCAAGACCTTCAACACACGATACATTGTCGGCTGCGATGGTGCCCATTCAAAAGTCCGCAAGTGCATACAGGGCGCCAGCCTAGTAGGCTCGTCGACCGACGCTGTCTGGGGCGTCATAGACGGTGTGCTCGAGACCGACTTTCCCGACATTTGGAGCAAGGTCGTCATCCAGTCAGATGCACTCGGCTCAGTGCTCCTCATTCCCCGCGAGAGGGGTCTGACTCGTCTCTACATTGAGCTGCGTCCCGACTCCACAGAAGTTGTTGGGCCCCAACAAGCCACTCAGGAATTCGTGCAGAAGCGGGCGCAGGCCATACTGCAGCCATACAGGCTCGAGTGGAGAAATGTCGAGTGGTTCGGCCGCTACAAGATTGGACAGCGCGTTGCAGCCCGCTTTGCCGACGACGACCAGCTGGTCTTCATTGCTGGCGACGCTAGCCACACCCACTCTCCCAAAGCAGCTCAAGGAATGAACACGTCAATGCACGACGCCTGGAACCTGGCCTGGAAACTAAACTTTGCCACTCGCGGTCTCGCTAAACCTTCGCTACTCCAGTCGTACGAGCAGGAACGACAAAAAATTGCCAAGGACCTAATTGACTTTGACTACGAGCACGCCAATGCCTTCCACAAGGGCGATCCCGCAGCCCTCGCCGCAAACTTTGCCAAGAACGTGGCTTTCATCTCAGGCTGCGGTGTCAACTACGATGCAAACGTGCTAAATGTAAAATCAAAAGGCTCTCACCGGGGCCACCTCAAGCCCGGCTATCTACTTCCGCCCGCAAAAGTAACCCGCTACATCGACGCCAACCCCGTCGATATCCAAACCGACATCCCCGCCCTAGGCCAATTCCGCATCTACTTCTTTACCCACAATATCCGCGCCTCCATGCCCTTTTTAGAAGCAGTCTGCCACGCCCACCTCGGCCACAGCTCCTACGTCGGTCGCGTCAGCGCGGCAGGAAATGCCTCGTACACGGTCCAACCCCCACTTGCAGCCCCCCACGACGAATTCGTGCTCCCAGAACGCTACACACCCGTCAGTGGCGTCTTCACTTATGCTCTCGTTACCGACGAAAATCGCGCCAATTTCGAACTACGAGATTTACCCAACATGCTCCGTGAATCAGCTTTTACCCTCTATCTGGATGACGTCCCGGATAAAGATACCCGCAAGCAGACTTGCATGGACAAGTGGCTTGATGGCCTCGATAAGAACGAGGTGGTTGTCGTTAATGTGAGGCCAGATGGCTATGTTGGCACGTTCCGTCGCTTTGCCGATGGGACTCGTGAAAGCGGGTTTACGGCTGTGCAATGGATGGATGATTATTACGAGAAGTTCATGCAGGATATGTAAAACTTTCTATCTTGCTGCTGTACTCGCTTTTTTTTTTCATCTCCCTCTTCTATTTTAGGGGCTTCTTTCTTTTTTTAGATTTACGATTTTGATCTTTTATACGCATGGCCCTTTTTTTGTGCCCAAAAGCGTTCTTTTTTCAAGGTCGGGATTTACTACTAGACGTTTTTTTTTGTTTCTTGATTTTTTTTCCCTTCATGGCGGGGCACCAATTTTTTTTTTTTTTTTTGGAATACTTTAGATATGACAATCTGGCCAAATATACACATATATTCTCCTCATTCCTTTTCCTTTGGACACAAGATGCAACGAACAATGAAATGAAGAGAACGAAAAAACAAGAAAAAACAAATGACATTCTTAACATCACAACAACACGTTTAAACGCCCCCAAGTTAAACAATCTCTTCACGCAACAGCCACCAAAAACGGCTCTTCCCCATCCTTCCGCACCACCCTCGCCCTCTCCACAAGTTCATCCCCAACCGCCAACCTCAATCTCTCACAGGTAGCCGGAGAATCCAAATTCCACGGCTCCGCCTCACCCACACTCTTCCCATTCATGCACCTCGCGGCCTTGACCGCCTCCCTAAGGGCAAAAAACACGGTACTCCCCAAGAAAAGCGGAGGCTCTCCAATGCCCTTACTACTCTGCACAGTCCTGAGATGATTCCAGGTAAGCGGGTTGCCGTCATTATCATAGCGCAGCATGGTGGCGTTGAAGACCTGGGGGATATCGGCGAAGCCTGGTATTTTGTAGGTTCCGGGGCCGCGGGTTACGAGGGCGCCCGAGTGGGGGGACCAGAGGGATTCTTCGAGGGTGAAGAGGCCGAGGCCTTGGAGGAAGGCGCCTTCGATTTGGCCGTAGTCGATGGCGGGGTTGATGGAGTTGCCTACGTCCTGTTGTCTTTTTATTAGCAAGTGGAAGAGAGAGAGGGGGGAGGGAAGGGACGGTACCATCATTATATCTGACCGTAAAACGGTGTGATGGCCAGTAAGGAGGTCGAGTTCAACTTCTGAGCATGCGGCACCTTGGGTCCAGTAGTAGTACATGGGTTTGACGGTTTCGAGGTTGGTGTCGCCCCATGTGTAGCCTACTTTTGGCATTTTGTAAAAGCCGTTTGCGGCGAGATTGACGCGGTCGATGTAGGCGGCGTGAGCGAGTTCTTTGAGGGATGCGTCTGGGCCTAGCTTCTCGCGGTAGGGTTTTAGGCGCTCGTTGAGTTGGTCGCAGGCATGCTTCACAGCCATGCCGTTGAGATCGGAGCCGGATGAAGCGGCTGTGGGTGAGGCGTTGACGATCTGGTAGGTTTGGCTGTCTTGCGTGTAGATGGCGTCGATAGGTGTGCCTAGCTCCTGTGCGGCTATCTGGCACATCTTTGTGTAAAGACCCTGGCCCATTTCTGTTCCTCCGTGGTGTAGAAGGACACTGCCGTCATGATAAATCTTTACATACGCACCTGCTTGGTTGAGATGCAATGCAGTCGCAAAGCTGAGACCGAACTTTGATGGAATTAAGCTTATACCTCGCTTCCGCCACCGGTTTTTCTCGTTGAAATCATTGATAGCGGCTTTTCGTTTCTCATAGTCGGACGACTTGCTCAGCTGGTGAAGTAGCATCGGTATGTGCCAGTCCTCGTCGATCTTTTGAAAGAATGGAGTGTGCTCTCCAGGCTTGTACAGATTCTTCCATCGTAGCTCGTCGACATCTATACCAAGACCTTCTGCAATGTTGTACATAATGGTCTCTGCAAAATACATTCCTTGCGGCGCGCCGAAGCCCCGGAATGCCGTGTTGCTATGGATGTTGGTTCTGCAAACGTGACCACGTAGGAAGACATTTGGGCATTCGTATGCGTTGTCAAAGTGTGTCAGACATCGGTCCATGACCGCTCCACTCATGTCTTGGGAAAAACCGCCATTGTCATAGACATCGGCCTCCATAGCAAGGAGCTTGCCTTCTTTTGACACGCCGACTTTCCATTGCGCTTTGAACGGATGTCTTTGGCCACTGAGCAACATGTCTTCATCACGGTTCAGCATGATGCGAACTGGTCGTTTCTCTTTCCTAGCAGCGATTGCTGTGTAGACTGCAAAGGGCACACTTCGGGATTCTTTACCACCAAAGCCACCTCCCATGCGCTTGACACGAGCGTTGACACGGTTGCTTGGTACTCCCAACACTGAACTGACAAACTCTTGTACTTCCATGGTGTTCTGGGTTGAGGACCAAACTTCGATAGCTCCATCTTCTCCAGATGGTATGGCTAGTGCAGCGTTCGTCTCGAGATAGAAATGTTCCTGACCACCTAGCCGGCACATGCCTTCAAAGATCTTATCGCATTGGGCAAACGCGTCAGCCATCTTATCATCAATGGCAAGACCCTTTCTCAAAAACTTTCCATGAGGGAAGTAGCTGTTAGCTGCAATAGCTTCGTCGATAGTTAAAATGTGAGGTAGCTCTTCGTATTCAACCTTGACAGCTCGAGCAGCTGCTTGAGCCTCCAACGCCGTGTCAGCATAGACCATTCCAATGATTTGGCCATGTGACAGAACCTTGTCTTCGGCAAAGAACGGCTCGTCCTTCTTGATAGATCCCCAAATATTTGCGTCCGAAGGGATGCTATTTTTGTCAATGTATCCGACAACACCAGGCATCTCAAGCGCTCTATCCCAGTCAACGCTCAAAATCCTGGCATGTGCTTTTGTAGACATGACAAGGCCACCAAACAGTTCCCGATCCATTCTCGGCATGTCATCGATGTACTCTGCCTCTCCTGTACATTGTTTGAGAGCGGAGAGATGAGGGACTTGTCTCCCAACAACACGCTGCTCGTAGGGGTTGTAGTTGTCACGCATTCCACTAGAGATATCACGATGAATCTCATCCACAACCTGCTGATCAACGTTTCCGAGCCCAAACTCAGCGGCCGCTTCGTGCCAGAAGCGGAAGAAGAGCGACAGTGTAAGAGTCTTGCGGTAATCAGCCATACCACCTGGAACGCTGTATGGAAGGTCATAGTCCTGTGTCAACGCAGTGAGCGCAGCATCGAGCGTCTCTGAGTGAAACCATGGCTTGCCGAGAAGAGCGCTCTGTGTCTTTGGCGAGTCCTTAGTCGTTGGCGCCATGCCACCAAAAACGATGGACGCATCCTCGACCCGTCCAGCGGAATCGAGGCGTACCCTGAATGCTGCAGTAACAATTGCAATATCATCATCTTTGCGCTTAGCCTGCTTGTATGCTTTGAGCACCTCCCTCGAATCTTTTGGTGGTAGAGGGATCCAGATGCGGTACAAGGCTGCATCAGGAGGCAGACTCGTAGTCCTGTATGCCACGAAAAAGTTGGACATGGGAAGATGAACACTGCCATCCTTCTTGCTGATAGCCTCTAGTGTGGCACCTGCTGCCAACAAGACGGGATTCGCATCTGATATCGGCGAGGCGGTTGCAATATTACCAGCCAGCGACGCAACGTTGCGAATCTGACGACCAGCAAAGTATCGCAGTTGTTTTCGGAGAGCTTCTAGAACCATTGCACGCTTACCAAGCTTGGCACAGACCGTTTTACAGATCTCTTCTAGCTCAGTGAGTGGAGTGTTGGCTGCGATGACGAGCTCCTTGGCATTTTCGAGCTGGGCATCCATGGGGAGCTTGGTGTGCTTCAGCTCTGGAATATCTGAAATGTAGACCGAGACTGCAAAATCAGAGTTCTTGAAGCGGACCTCTACCTGCACTTCACTGGCGCCCCCAACAAGCTTGGCCGATGGGAATGCATCCTTGAGGTCCAGAAGCTGATCAAGTTTGGTAGGTCGGAACCAAATCTTCTTCTCGTTGCCGTAACATATCGGTTGTGGTTCGTGCTTCCACAGCGCCGAGGGAAATATGAGCTCTGTGTCTGGTGTGTATTCCTGGAACTCTATTCTTGGGACACCCTTTTCTGAGTTTGCTGCTGGTGCAAGGGCGGCAGAAGTTGAAGTCTTTGTTTGAGCGGCTGCCTCTCCTTCCTTGCTTTTCAGGGGTTTCGCATATTCTGCACCGCTAATGGCGGGATCTGCCTGTGGAGGCTGTTTTGTGCCCAGCACGGCAGGCGTACGCTCATCCTCGGATGTCGAAGTAGGCTCTGATGGCGGTGATGAGGTGTTGGACTTGGTGTCGGCGGAGCTGCTATCTGAGGGTTCATCCCTGCAACAGCCCCCCGGACGACCGCAGGAAACCTTGGAGGGTCCCGCACATGCGCTGCGGGTGAGATCAGTGACATCGTCCTCGAATCGCCCAGCGTCTAGAGTGATTGGTTCATTTTCCTCAGCTAGTTGACCCTTCAAGTCTTCAGTGACAAATGTCTTTGCAGCCTGCAGGATAGGCTTGTAGCCAGTGCAGCGGCACAGGTTGCCATCCAAGTGGCCTTCCATTTCGATTTCACGGGCACTCAGATGGAACTTTTTTGTCTCGGGATTGTATGCATTGCGCACGACGGCATAAAGACTCATGACGATACCAGGAGTGCCTACGACACTTGTCAGTAATCCGACCAGGCAGCTGCAGACCTAGACACTGACAGAATCCACACTGGCTGCCATGAAGCTTTGCAATCCTCTCTTGCAGGGGGTGTGGTCGGCCAACACTGCCGATGCCCTCGACAGTGATGACATGCTTGCCGTCGATGCCCACTAGCGGGAACAGGCATGCATTCACGGACAGATGCTTAATTCGTCTCTTCTCAGACTGCGAGTCTGCGACTTGAAGCACGACGGTACATGCACCACATCCACCTTCGCCGCAGCCCAGTTTGGTACCCTTGAGGTTGGGCTGGGCGCGAAGATAGTCAAGCAGCGTCCAGTGGGGATTGGGGTTGCTTATGACGGTCTTGTTGCCGTTGATGTAGGCTGTTATATCGGGAGTTTTGTATGTCGCTTCGATCAAGGGCGTCAGGGCGTCGACAGCGGAATGCGCCCGAGGTGGGTCTGCAGCGCTACCTTTCGGCGGAACGGGGAGAGACATGGCAGATCCACGGAGAGCCTGTCCAAATCAGACGACAATAACCCAGACAAGGGATGTGATGGTCTTCTCGTGAGCCTGGCAGACCGGTGCTGACAACTCTCCAGCCTCTGCCTCATCAACTCGACAGCACTATCACGTGATGATATCGCTGTTGGGCCTGATTGGCGTGCATGGAGGCTAACCTTCCGCTGGTGGACGACTTTGTCTGGCCGGAACGCTTTACCCGCAACACCCCGCTCTTCTTTGCCTGCCACCGCTCGCTTTCAATGCCACTGTCATACACGGCGTCAACGCACATGTGCACAATCAGCACTCACACAGCAGTGTAACCAAGAGAACAGATTCGTAGGGTCATCATCCAAGGGTTGGACAAGCGTGCTCCAAAACCATTGGTGCTGCTGGCATCCGAGTCCGTCTTGGCCTTTGCAACTACCACATGTGACAGCAAACCCTGCGAGTATTGGAGAGCACCAAGAACAACACCGAGAAAACGTCTTGACATGCTGCAACAAGGTGGCATCAAATCATTCACAGCAGGCAGCTTCAACAGAAACAGTGCTGTCCCAAAAGTGGAGGCTGCCAATGTCCATTTGGACGTCTTTGGTCGCCAGTTGACTGCGAGCTTGTATCTCTTAAAGAGACTGGCTCAAGGTCTAGAATCGGATCAGTGCAATCAAAACTTCTTCTACACCGCTGATCTTCCCCTCAAATGGTATACGGGCTACTCTGCTTACGAACAGACTACCTTCTTTTTTAATACAACTCGAAAATGGTATTCGGTTGAGTGCGTCGATGTTGGAATCAATTCGAGGCATTGCAGAGCAGATGAAATTCCCCCAAGTCTCTGTACAAGTAAGCTCTGTAAATGACGTTTACTTGACGTTACTACCCGCTAGCACATACGACTGGTGGCTGGGAAAGAAACAAATACGCCTGCAATTGCGTCTAAAGCAATGTTATCATTACCACGGAAAAATTGAAGCGATGCGGATCAAGCCTCTGGCAATTTTCATAGTCGTATTCCGACGCATGCCTGAGGGCTCTTGTTCCATTGGCTTTGCAGCCGCTGCCCAGACTCCAGCCAGTTGAGTCGGTCCGTCCCGACTACCCGACTCTCACTAGACTGCTTTGCATCAATCCTTTTACTCAACTTCCCTTCTCGTACTCTCACCAACCTACTTACGGAACATCGATCGAGTTCTCGACCCGACTTTTCAGACCCCAAGTAGCATTGTCGTGGCCAAGAATGGAGTCCCGCATACAGACAGCCGGGCCTCCTGCAGCGGTATCGTCAGCTGGTGCACGGTTCAGCCACAACCTTCTCTACCACGCCACTTTTCGGACTTCGACGCCTCGTATCTTGGCCTTGTCACAGACAACAGACTACTTGTTTTTCCATCGCAGATGGCGCTTTCCCTCCATGAGTAGTAGTCTTCGCCGACCATCGCTCTGGACTACTTGGCAAAATCTCTGGAACAGTTGCTACAAAGACTTGCCAAGGCTACCGTCAACTCTCCGTGTGCTCTGGATGCTAGATATGACAAGGCGGCTGCGGTCAAGCTGGTGCAAAAAACTATAGGAATCAAAGTACCTTGGCACAAGGACCGCTTCCAGTTATTGTATCACGATCAAACGCATCGGTGCAATATACAGGACGCATAATTTGGAAATAGCACGTCATTTTTTAAACCCCAGCATGCAGTGTTTTGTCCCCCGGACCACAACTACCGCAGTTTGACTGGATATATAAGCAGGCCTTCAAACTCCGATCCTGATGGACCAATCATGGTTCCATATCTAGCCACATATGACGCAGAATTCTCCTTGATCAGTATTGATCAGGGAACTTCTATGCTCTTCCATATGCGGCCGAACGGGTGGCCTGAGTTTGAGGATTCATCGACTATAACTACGGACGCCACAATACGCATGTTCATGGACATGGACTCCATGCAAATATCGGCTGCAGCTTTCATCGTGGAGATGCATGTCAAATTTTGGAAATCGAGAAGGATTGATTTGATGGAAGAATTCCCGCAATCTAGATCTTCGGTTACCGTCGCTATTTTAGCCGGAGTGGGCCGCAATCAGTCCGGACACAGTGCATCAACGTGACACAAGAACTGTATTTGGTACTAATGTATCTGTATGTTTTATATTGCGGATCATCTAAATAGCGTGGCAGCTCGGGCGGTTAGGGCCAGTACCCGCTGCCAGGTACAACATGGACTGGCTCCGCACACTGCACCACAGACAGGGCTGGCTTTTTTTCCTAGATTTTTCGACTGCAACTGTCGTCTGAGAATTTCGTTTGAGAAAAGATCTCCATCTGCAAGACAATAACTCGACAATTGTTGGCATGATGTCTATTCTCCTTCCTCTCTACATCTACCCCAGCCCCGGCGCTTGGGATCCGCTCTATGCAGCGTATGCATACAAAATCCTTTTATTCCTCTCCTACTAACAGAGATCAGAGCAAAGGCACACCGCGATGTTTCTTTTACAGTCGTCCTCAACCCCTGTTCTGGACCCTGCATGGGCTCGCTACCTGACTCAGTATACCTGGACGAAATCCCCAAACTTGCTCAGTACCCCAACATCCGTACCTTGGGCTATGTAGCGACACATTACACCCAAAAGACCATAGACGATGTCTTGGCAGAAATCGACACATACTCAAACTGGCCCTACGTAACGAATGTGACCCGTATGCGCGTAGACGGCATCTTCTTCGACGAAACACCCAGCACTTTTACCCCGGAATCATATGCCTATCTCGAACGAGCAACTTACGCCGTCAAGAACGCCAGCACGACGTTCAAGAAGGGCTTTATTGCGCACAACCCCGGTCTTGTCCCTCTAGCGGACCTCGACGCACCCGGCTATCTCGCAAACTCGTTCTTCAACCTCACCGATCTTACCGTTGTCTTCGAAGAGACTTTCGAAAAGTACCTAGACAAGGACACAATGGGGCCCCTTTCCAAGGCAGCCGTCCCAAACTCGAAACTGGGAGTCATTCTGCACTCTGTCCCGAGGTTGAATCAGGATGTGCTGAGCTATGTGATTGGGAAAGTAGAGGAAGCTGCCGACTGGGTATTCTTGACAAGTGGAATTGATGGCAATGGATACCATGATTTTAGTGAAGTGTGGCAGGGCATGGTCGCGGTGGTCGGGAAAGGAAAAGGGGTGGGTACTGGGTGGAGGAATTAGAGTGAGGATAGACAGTGAAGGGAATGAAAAGCTTTCATGGTGGATTTTTGCTTTTGGTATTCATTTCTTCTATATCCTTTGTTCAAGAACTCTTACATGATTTATGTCGGTATTTAGAAGGTTGCGTTTTCAGGCGCATCTAGCTAAGCCGTGTCGTTGCTCTTCTTCTTTTCTCTTCATAGTTAGATTACATTCTTCAGAATTCATATTTTTTTTTCGGAGAGCTCTCTGCACCGTGAAGTAAGCCGTCCTTGTTGTTGTTCGCGTGTAAGCGCCCTTTGAACATTGACACAAAAGCAGGGATAAGCATGCAAGTTGGGCATCTTAATGAAACCTTATTACAGAAAAAACCAAGCATTAGTTTCGTACCGTTTGGTATAGTGGAGACACTTATACACCATTTCCCCGCATCTCCTCCTCCTTCACTCTCTTCTTCTCCGCCAACTCCTGCCGCCACCTCATGCCATCCCGCATAACCCACAGCGCGACCGGCAGCAACGCCACATACACAAACGCAATGAGCGTAAACGCCCACCCGGGATTCATCGCACGACACATTGGCAGAATGGCCGCCGACCCACCCGCACTCATCAGACCCCTCGCAAAATTCACCGCGGCCGTCGCCGCCGCAGGCTGATCACGATGCAACTCAATCAGCAACCCATTGGTAATATTAAACGCACCCGTAATACAAAACCCCATGATGGCCAGCGCAATCTCAGGCCCCGCAATATGCGTCTTGAAGCGCACCGTCCAGGCAAACATGACGATGCCCAGGACGCCGACGACATGGTTTGGCAGCAAGACTTCCATGCGCACGCGCTCGATGGGGAAGTTGCTGAGATCCTGCTGCTTGCCGGGGATAATGACGAGGCCGATTTTGCGGGCGTGGCGGCGGAAGTTCCAGTCGACGACGCGGCCCATTGTCAGCGAGGCGAGGAGCGAGGCTATGCCGTTGGAGATGTAGCAGAGTCCGATGTCGAGCTCGTCGAGGCCGTAGGCTTCGTGGAAGAGATCGGGGATCGCGGCTACGGTTACCATTAGACCTGTGAAGAAGAGGCCGTTGTACAGGAGAATGATGCCTGATTCCTTTTCACCCAGGATGCGCATGGTAGCCAGGGGGTTGGGCCATGCTGTTTTTGTGCGCGGAGGCAGCGGGGCTGCTGGTATTTCGTGGGGGAATTGCTTGCGGCGTTTGCGCTGCTGGATGCAGCTTATGACGGAGCGGTTTACGCCGCGCGGAGGGATGGAGCCGTTGCCGACGACTTTGCGGCAGGTTTCGGGGAAGAAAAATACAAAGAGGATGAGGAGAGTGCCGGAGAAGATGGAGAGGAACCAGAAGATTGCGCGCCAGCCTAGGTAGCGGGACAGCAGGCCGCCGATGGTAGGGCCAAAGGCTGGGCCCATGAGTACGCCGGCTTGCGCGTAGCCCATGTAGGTGCCGCGGTCGGCGGAGGTCGTGATATCGGCTACGACGGCCAATGTCAAGGCTATGGCTGCTGAGCCGCCGATTGCTTGGACCATGCGTAGGATGAGGAGGGCGACGTAGTTTGTTTGCAGGGCGAGCCCGATGTTGCCTATGCAGTAGATTACGAAGCAGATTATGAAAGTTAGTCTTCGTCCGCTGTTGTCGGAGAGAGTACCAAGGAAGGCTGGGGCTATGGCTTGAGCAATCTGTGGACGTTAGATGCTAGGCTTTACAATAGGGCGATGTTTAAAGAGCTTAGGCCGATTGTTGAAAAGGTTGGGAAAACAGCTTGAAAGAGACGAAGAATTCCCAACGAATCACT